CAAATGTCATATCAGTGTGCATTTAAAAAACACCAAATTGGTGAATTTTTGTGTAGCCATTTTAATATTGAAGATGGAAGAAAATAAGTGATGTTTTTGGCATATTGTGTTTTATTATTTCAAGCAAGGTAAAAATGCAACTGAAATGCAAATAAAGATTTGTGCAGTATATGAAGATGGTGCTGTGACTGATCTGAACATGTTAAAAGTGGTTTGTGAAGTTTTGTGCTGGAGATTTCTCGCTGAACTATGCTCCAGGGGTGGGTAGGCCAATTGAAGTTGATTGTGATCAAGTCAAGATATTGAGTGAGAACAATCAACATTATACCACGCAGAAGATAGCCGACATTCTCAAAATATCCAAATCAATAAAATTATTGGTGAAAATGAAAAATGTGTCTTTTATTGTATTTTACAGAAAGAAACAAAATGAACTTTTTGGCCAACCCAATTGATAGGTATTTAAGGTGAAGACTTGATTAAAGACAGAATTATAGGGTGTGTGGCTACTTGTGTGCTTCAGTTTCATTAGACTATAAACTTTTAAACTCTAGCCACTAACAGTTTACATGAGCTTAAGTTTATATCAGAGATGATGAAGAAAGTGTTGGAACTTAGGATTCACTTATTCATTCACTTGTTCAACAAATACCTATTGACTGTCTTCAAAATACAAGGCCCGAGGGGCACGCAGGGGAATAAAGGTGTGGGTCTGGCGTATAGAAGGAGAACATGCGGCCTGGTCTCAGCACAAAAAGCAGAAAATAGAGTGTTTCATGAAAGGGGAGAGGAAAAGAGCTGTGGGAATGAAGAGAAAGCAGGCGATCTTTTTCGTTTATGCTGATGAAGTATGGATTTGAAGAGGAGGTGACATTTCAAATTGACCTGAGGTTGAATGGTTTGGACCTGACTTCGAAAAGACGTGCTAATGTACAGCAAACGAAGCAACATGAGTAAAGCTATGGTGACAGATCAAACAATTTAGTTTGGCTTCTGAACAGGTCATTTAATTGGAAGTTTTTAATGTGAGGCTGATTCATTTAGCCTGTTCTATAGGGCAGGGAGGGTAAACTCTGGTCCGGCCCAGTGCTTGTTTTTGTAAGTAGTTTTACTGGAACACAGCTACGCCATTTGCTTATGTGTTTCCTGTGGCTGTTTTTGTGTCACAAGAGCAGAGTTGAGTCATTGCAACAGAGACCACATAGCCCATTGAGAACCACTGATCCAGTCTGGGGACTGGCACGGAATGGTTTTCAGGAGAGGTCGCAGTCTTGCTAGTGATGGAGGAGATGGTAATGTGGAAGCCTTCTGAATTGAGCTGGTCCAGGGTCTTCTAGCGGGAGTGGAGAGGAGTTGAATACTAAATAGATTAAGTGCATGGAATCAGTATGATTTGGCTAAAGATTTGATGAGAGGAGGCCATGGAAAGGGTTGATCAAGGTTACATGAAAGATTTGCAGTTTGGATGACTGCATGGTTACTGTTGCTATGGAAACAGGGAAGGCCTAATGACAAATGGCTGCAAAAGTTTCAATGACCTGTGGGAGATAGAACACTGACCAATCTGGGGGAGAACTCAACATCCCACAGGAGGTGGAACCTCAGGGGTTTTGCAGGACCCAGAATATTTGCCAGTTAACTGTGGAAAGTTTTATTTTGTTCTTCATATTAGGTGGACTAAGTTCCTACGAGAATTATTTTTATGACCTTTATGTGTAAAAAAAAAATTTGGGTTTTTGTTTTCAAAATAACTTTAAGTAGGAAAACTTTGAAAAGTTTTAAATTGATACTAGTAAATTTTCTGAAGTACCTAAACACAGAAATAACAATAGCACTATAATAAAATGGAAATATTTTAGCAACCTTAAAAAATCAAATTCTCACTTGAATTATGTGAAGAAAATTTTTGTCTTCACGGTTTGCTTTAAAAACATCACTTTTTGTTATACAGGTAATGCATTCTTATGAAATACTACATTGTGAAAGTTGCCACAACTGCTCCTTTTTAGGTCATTCACTTCTGGTAATAGTTTGAGATATACTGACTGTGTAGATATTGTGTCCTTCACTAGGGTTACAAAGACAGAAAACGTTCATTTCTCAAATGTGCTTTTATAACTTTGAACGTGATGCTACCTGCAACATTTTTAAATCAGTTTGGCTGGCTCCAGTCTCCAATCGTATGATTCTCTGACACAGTTGGCTCTTTTTTTCTGGCTCCAGACGACCTGTCAAGGGTTCTGCTGCAGCCCATCTGGCAGTCGCAGTCCCAGATGGCTTGGTTTGTTTGCCTTGCCTCTGCCGGCTCAATTACCCATAAAACTGGTCTGTTTCCTAATCTTCAGTATTAAATATGTCAACAACTAGAGTCTTGAGGAAAATTCTCTTGTTAGAAAAGATAAGATTATCTTAGGGAGAATTTGGAAGTGGTCATGCTGAGGAAATCACTTGTTAAGAAAAAGAGAAACTTAATATATTTATGTAAATATTATTTTTTCATCAGTTTTTTATGTAAACAGTCAGGGAAGCCCTGGTCGGGTGTCTCAGTTGGTTGGAGTGTCATCCTGTACACCAAAAGGTTGCAGGTTCAAGTCCTGGTCAGGACACATATCTAGGTTGTAGGCCCCAGCCCCGATTGGGGCTCATGCAGGAGGCAGCTGATAGATGTTTCTCTCTCACATCTGTGTTTCTCTCTCTCTCTCTCTCTTCCCCCTCCCTTCCTGTCTCTCTCAAATCAACAGAACCATGTCCTTGGGTGATGATTTAAAAAAAAAAACAAAAAAAGGGAAAATTAGTTTGAGGTTTTAGTTAGAACACATTTATACTGACTTAAAATTTGTCTGAAAACATGTATCTGGCTAAAAATAAAATTATTTTAAATTATAGATTAGTGTAAACTCAAAGGAAACTTTTTCTCCTGTTTCTCCTTTTACTTCAGTACCTTTCTTCTAATAATAATAATATTAATTTTTGTTAACTTTATTGTTTTAATATGTTGTTCTTAATTTTATTTATTTTTTTATAATAATTTAATAAGATAGGTACAACTTTCTTTGCCATTTTATACGTAAAGAACTAAAGGATAAGAATTTAAGTAACTAACTTGTCTAAGGTTACTTAGATAGCAAGTGGCAGAGCTGGGATTAGAAACTCATCCAGCAGACTTCAAATTGTATATCACAGGTCACTTTACGATTATGTTTTAATAGTACTAATAATTTCTTGGCTGTTGATCCTGGAATAAAGAAAAAACTATTTATCAAAATATAAATACATATATATGTTTTAATTTTGAATTGCTATTTTTCTGTAACTGAAATAAAGATGATGATAACATTTAAATCATTTAGAATAATTTTAAATGAAATTTAATTTAAAATAAAAAGGAATAGTGAATGCCTCTGATCCCAGCCCTATTTTTACTATTAAAGAAAAAATTGGCTAGGCATAATTACTACATTTAGTTGCACATGAACAACGTTTTATCCTCATTTTTTTTTAAGTTCAGAAGTGGACTATATGGTGAGGGTGTGTATGCCACGTATTTTGTAAGGTCTGGTTCACCATGAAGGGGAAGGAGAGAGAGAGAGGAAGCAGAAGGCAGGCAATTTCCTTTTTAAAGCACGTGGAGATTATGGGAGCACACCAGTTCCACTCATAGTTCACTGGACAGACATAGTCATGTGGCCATAGCTAGCTTCAGAGTAGTCTTTATCAGGATGGCCATGTGCCCAGGTAACACGAGAGATTCTGTTATTAAAATAAAGGCTTGAGAATGTATATGGTGTGGGTGGGAGTACCTGTATCTCTGCCACAAGTATTAATACAATATAAACTCACACTATTCTTGCTAAAGGAGTTTTAAACAATTTTATTGAGTTTCTACTCTTATGGAAATGAGAAAGTGTAAATTTCTTAATAACATAGTTCATATGTAGAAAGTTATTAAATGTTGCTTAATGCTTCACTACTATCCTCGAGTATTAACAAGCTCCTGGAGAGCAAGTCTGGCTGGGAGAGGCCTGTGGAGCAGCCTCCCTACTCTTTCATGAGAGGCCACAGCAGTACCTCTGGACTGTTGACGTGAGGAAGACCTGGTGCTGAATTCAGGAGCAGTAGTTTGTTTTATTGTTTGTTACCTGGGGTGTTGAATTATTACATTATCATATTTGAAAACCTTTGGTCTTGAGGTACTCTGATGCAAAAAACAAAAACAAAACAACCCCCCCAAAAAAATGATGCAGAAGAATCTTTCATTGTAGCAAGAATATAGAACTTATTATAGAATGTAAATATATTAGATAATGGCTTTTATATTTCATATTTTGTTAAGTCATGTGATTCTGTGAATAGACTATGAAGAATAAAGGTTCCAGAAAGATCAGTGGAACTATAAACATTAAACTAAGGTGTCAATTTTTACATTTTTTAAGTTTATTGAGCTTTAAAATGATGTAATTATCTATACACTTTATTTTAGGATTTCAGGCTAAATTGTGATGGAAATACATACAAATATTGATGACACTTAGTAGTTGGCCACATTTTTTTAAAGCAATGAAATCTTCAGAAATTATTATGGATGGTTACCAATTAAATCAAAACATTAGGCAGTTAACAATGGTAACTTCTATTGAAGATTGTGTCTAGATTGTTATATTAGATAGCAAGTTACTGACTTTTTAACATTTCAAGACTTTTAGAATTTTGATAGGTGAATAAGTGATTACTGAAAAAAATAGTAAGACTAGTACTAATGAAAATCTGTCTTTTATTTGGACTTCATTTTTCAATGTAATACAAACACTAATAACTTAATAGAATTCATGTAATTTAAATTGAGGGAATATTGGTGTATTCTGTAAGTAGTTGGTGTTAATCTTGTGTTGGATTCTGAATTCTGACTTTTATTAGAGACTGCTTCTTGATTTGTGTGTCTAAATTCTAAGAAGTCTATTTTGTTTTTGTATTTTAAAACTTTTTTCTCTCTCACTAAACAGCTTTGATGTCATATTTGCTGGTGGTCCAGAAGAAGTTCTAAGGAAGTTCCAAAAGTCAAATCACAAAGTGGTCTTTGCAGCAGATGGGATTTTGTGGCCAGATAAAAGACTGGCAGACAAGTATCCCGTTGTGCACATTGGGAAACGCTACCTGAATTCAGGAGGTAGGTAAGGTACCGACAGAAAAGTGTAATGTAAGTTATAATAAATTATGAATAATGAAACAACCTTGTTTGATATGTATAAATATAGACATGTATTTTTAAATAACTGCTATCTTATTACTCTGAACAAACTTTATCAGTTTAAAATCCACAGTGCATTGTATAGCTGACAGAGCATTTTCTCATACGTATTATATATCATGTGATGCCCTTAACAACACTAGATAGTGTGTCATTATTTCAGAATTGTGAGTGAGAAATTCCATGTTCCCCAAATTTAAGTGATTTCTTCAGAAGACATTCAATTGTTAAAGGAAAGGCAGTATGGATCCAGATCTTCTGATTATAGTATTGAGAATTTTCTGGCTATAGGACAGAATTGCATTTAGTAAACTCTTAGGAAAAAGTGTAAGCTGTAATCATGTAGCTTTAAAAAAATAGGTATTAATTTTATTTGTGTATTTTACCACTATGGAAAGCAGTATGGAACTTCCCCAGAAAACTAAAAATGGATCTGCCTTTTGACCCAGCAATTCCATTGCTGGGACTATATCCTCAGAACACCAAAACACCAATACAAAAGAACCTTTGCACCCCGATGTTCATAGCAGCACAATTTACAATAGCTAGATGCTGGAAGCAACCTAGATGCCCATCAGTAAATGAATGGATCAAAAAACTATGGTACATTTACACAGTGGAATTCTATGCAGCAGAAAGAAAGAAGGAGCTTCTGCCCTTTGCAACAGCTTGGATGGAGCTGGAAAGCATTATGCTAAGCGAAACAAGCCAGGCAGTGAAAGACAAATACCATATGATCTCACCTTTAACAGGAACCTAAACAACAAAGCAAAGAAAAAGCAAAATATAAACAAAGTCACTGAAATAGAGGACAGACTGACAGTGACCAGAGGGGAGAGAAGAGGGAATTTCAGGGGAGAATGGGTAGGGTTTGCAGGAACAAATTTAAAGGACACATGGACAAAAACTAGGGGGAGGGTGATAATGGGAGGGAAGTGGAGAGGGTTGCGTGGGTGGGCAGGAATGGGAGTAAAAGGGAGAAAACTGTACTTGAACAAAGATTAAAATAAAAAAAAATCTGTATTTTAAATATACTAGAATAAATGAGTAATTTGTCTTGAAGTCACTTGTCAAAAAGATTCAACATGCAGCCCTGGCTTAGTAGCAATTGATTAGAGCACAGTCTCCATATGCCAAGGTTGTGGGTTCCATCCCCAGTCAGGGCACATAGAAGAACCAACCAGTGAATGTGTATATAAGTGGAACAACACATCAGTGTCCTCCCCTCCCCTCCCCTCCCCTCCCCCTCCCCTCCCCCTCCCCTCCCCCTCCCCCTCCCCCTTCCCCTCCCCTCCACTTCTCTCTCTTCCTTACCTTCTCTCTAAAAACAATGAATAAAAAATTTTTAAAACAGATTCAACATACACTGTTTGGTATACTTCAAATGCTGCATTAGTTATGCCACCATGGATTAAAGGAAGAAATTGTCACATTTCTTCCCTCCCTTCAAAATATAAAGTAAAATTTGACTTTGGTCATCAATATGACTCTAGAATGTTCTTTTTAGACTGAGATTAATATAAACATATGGCCATAAGTTATAATCAAATAGGATGGGCCTGAGGACATGTTAGACATGCAAACCACACTGGGAGGACATGTTTTTGAGTGATTTACACATGCATATATACAACTGATACTATTCAGGCAAGTTCAAATATGTGCTACTTTGCTCTGGTTGGTGTGGCTTTGTTGGAGTGTTGTCCTGGAAACAGAAAGGTCATAGGTTTGATCCCTGGTCAAGGCACATACCTAGGTTGCAGGTTCAGTCCCAGTTGGGGCATATGCAAGAGAAAACCAGTCAGTGTTTTGCACATTGATGTTTCTCTCTCTCTATTTACCTCCCTTCCGTTCTCTTGAGAAATCCATAAGCATGTCCTTGGGTGAGGATAAAAAAATAAGTGCTGCTTTAATGAGCAGCATGTCTGAATTCTAGGCTTTGCTCAGCTGATTACGTAAAGAAACCTCTCTTATCAAGTGGTTTACATTATCTGAGATGCCCAAATTCCAGCTCTATTCTTCTGCACCTTTTTCTAAGTAAATCACTGTTAAGTTGTACCATAAAACTTTGCCAGGCCATGTAAATAATATTACACTTCTAAAACCTTAAATGGCAGTTTGTACTGCCAAGCTTTAGCTCACTTTTTCTCTCCATCTCAATACAATGACATTTCATGGTTTCTGGTATCTCTTGATCATTTTCTTTTCTTCTACCTACCACCTTTGGACCTTACTTCTGTATTCAAGTCAGAATCTAGGGTGTGTCATGTTGGTCATTCTGTCCTCATTATGCTAGCAGCCTTTCCCTTAGATTTCCAGTTCATGCATGGACGAAGCTTCTCCCTAAGAAGACTTCCACTCTTGACTTCTTGTCTGAACACTTGAATCATAGATTGCTGCTCCTTCTGCTTTCAAACTGTCAGGCCCTCAGTATGACTAATCTTTCAAATTATCGTTAAGTCCTAGATAGATTAAAAACCATTTAGCTGTGCAACTCTGGTATGTTTTATTTTATATTAATTTTTCCAAACAAAGCATATATAATGAAGTATGTAAATTAATCTCAATCATGATATATCTACTCAGGAATTTAATTTCAGAGAATGCAGAGTACTGTAGACATAGCAAAAAAAAACACCAAGTGAGTGCCTTTGTGAGCAGGTTTAGTTAAGCAAAAGGTATTTATAAGTGAGAAAGAGATCATACAAGAAATCAAAACATAATGCTTATGCTTTTTGTAGTATAATAATTAAAGAGGTGGTAGTAAATCTAACTATGTTCAATAAAAGTTTGTGATTTTATGAGTGATATATTGACAGTTATTTAAGGGATATAAGTTTGTTTTGGGGTATATCATTTAATTAAAAAATATGGAGAGTGAATATGTTTCCTTATAAGGAAAATTGCAGAGTATAAGAAACTTTATTGGTTTGAAATAATGTGGTTTAATAAAAAAATACAAATCATATAAAATATGTATCACGTACTGTGAAAATAGATGTATATTTGCCCACTGGACAATGAAGAGTTAAGGGCACTGGTCCCCGTGCAGTCAAAAGTTCATGTATAACTTTTTACTTCCCCAAAGCTTTGGTATCCCTCAGTACCCAAGAGAAATTGGTTACAGGATCCCCTGCAGATAGCAAAGTCCTTGGGTGCTCAAGTCTCATGTAAAATGGCATAAAAGAACGTGTAAAGTTGGCCTTCCACATCTGTGGATTCTTAACCTTGGATCAAAAATACCATTTTTGACCTGTAGCTGGTTGAATCCACAGAATGAAAACCCATGTGTATTGAGAATTAACTGTATATTTGTTGAAAAAAAAAATCCACATCTAAGAAGACCCAGGTAGTTCAAACCCATGTTATTCAAGGGTGAACTATAATTCCTTTTATTTTTTTAAGGATGTTTGGGATTTATAAAAAAGATAAGGAAATGTAATTTTTGAGAAACAGCAACACATCCATTGAAAATGTCATGGTCTACTTGCATATATTTTTTTCATCAGAGTAGATTGGTCACAGTATTAAAAATTTCATTTCTCAGTGTTTTAAGATGCTTTTATTTGGCAAAAATAACAAAAAGGAGCAACTGGTAATGGCTTTAGCAATGTTTTTATTTTGTCTTATTTTTGCTATGTAACAGTAATATATCTGGACCTATTTCTTTTAATTTTTGTATTTTTATAAGGGAATTTTAATTTTGAGGGTAAAACATTAGGTTTCTCTTTAATTCACAGGAGTAAAATTGGTCTCTTTTAAAAAGTATTGCATGTCAGTGAAACATAGTTTGGCTTCATTTTTAAAACTCAGTGGAAGACTCAAACAAGGGAAAAACGATCCTGTTGTCTGTGTTTTTTATAGACAACTGTTGTTGGCAAACTTAATGCTTATGTTCTCAGGCCAAGGGGAACAATCCAATTTTAGACTTCCTTTCTCCAGACTATGACACACAAAAGCTAGCCAGAAAATGGTTTAGCAGGTACAATAATGACTAGCTCAAGTAAAGGGAAAATTCTCCAAATGTGCTAGATATAAAATTTCTTTGGGATGTTTAGTCAGTGACAAATGCAACATTCGTTTGATTGCATTAGCATCTGGCACCGACGTTCAAATCATTGTAGTAGAAGTTTTCTTTTTTCAGAAACAGAGTCCTCTATAAAGGAGCCAAGAAGAGCATTTTAGAAGGTCAGAAAGAACATTCTTCTGACTATTCTATTCTTTTACTAGTAACCTATTTTCCTTAGGAGCCCTGGAAAGTATTATTAGTTCTCCATCTTGTGTTACTTAATTTTTGGGTATATGTTTATTGGAAGAATCTTTGATTTGCAATTGGAATGAAAACTCACTCTATTGTAATTTATATATAAAATCCAAAGGACTGTCAATAACTCATATTTCTCTCATGGTGAGTTGTGATGGTTCCAGCCTAAGGATTAGACCTAATAGGTTTATCAATGTGCAGTGGGTCAATGGAATTAATGGAATTAACATAGAGGTCAGTTTGGTCTTTGAATACTAAATTCTCTGTTCTCTGTTGTATTTCAGGATTTATTGGTTATGCTCCATATATCAACCGTATAGTTCAACAGTGGAATCTACAGGATAATGATGATGATCAACTCTTTTATACTAAAATTTACATTGATCCACTGAAGAGGGTATGTAGTGGCTCCTGCTTCCATTTGCACTGTGACTGCCTTCTTCTTATTGGCTACTGGAGATTCTGGGCAGTTAGCAGCAAAGTAGTAACTATGGGACCGTCTCATTTTTTTCAACTTTGTTCCCATAATATACTTTCTAACATTTTTCTTTTGCTATAACATATTTATATGGCTACATATAACATGCAAAGGAAGTGTTGTCCTTTATTTCAAGTACATATGTCCTAGAAACCTGAATCCTGTAGTTAAGGTGGGGGCGTGGATGTTGGGGCCAATACCAGTCTGCCACAGGCCCTAGAGAAAACACTCTTAAGATTGATTTGAATGAAAGTTTGGAGAAAAATAAAAGCAGGACTTCTGATCAAAATGGCAGCATAGACAGATGTGACTTGCTTCTTCCTACAACACTCAGAACTGTTGGAAATTGAGTTGAATGGAAGTCTGACAACTATGGGATTAAAGAAACCACATCCATCCAGACTGGCATGGAATGAGCTGATCCTTCACCCATGTGTAGTGTATAAAATTTCAGGAGGGATATCTCGGGGATGAGGAGTCCCAGCCCACATCAGGTCCCCATCCCAGGTTCCAGTGCCAAGAAGGTAAGTTCCCACAACTCTGACTGCAAAAACCAGCAGGGATTGAGTCTGTGGAAGAAACTTCTGAAATCCCAAAAAGTTCCTCATGAAGAACCCACATACGGATTCACCTACTCAGATTCCTTCGGAGCTCAATATTGGGGTAGCAGCTTGAAAGATACCTGTGGTATATAGGGAGAACCTGAAGTGTCTGACATTAAGGTGAGCAGAGGCCATTGTCTCGTTCCTAAACCTTCCCTCCACAGAGCTGGCAAGCTGGTGCCAAATCTGAGACTCTATCAACCCAGCTGACACTGTTTGACCTGCCTTGGAGATCACCAGAGACTCTGCTCTGTCCAACTTATGTCCCCACCCAAGTTGGTTTTCCATATGAATGTCTGAACTTCCCTGATATTTCACAACTTCCTAAATACTCTCAAACAATCAACAGTCCTTAGTGATCCTCAGGCTTGGCACTAGCAGCAGCCAGCCTAGATACATAGCTTGGCTTTGCCTGGGAATCTCCAAGCCCACCCAAGTAGCAGCAATCTCAGGTTGCTTTGTAGGTCAGGCCAGGTAACCCTGGGCAAAACACAGATGGGGGCTGACCTTTCCTTGCTCCAGAAAGAGTGGTAAACGAAATGGAGATAAGCAATCTATCAGATGCAGAGTTCAAAACCCTGCTTATAAGAATGCTCAAGGAACTTAGTGAGGACCTCAGCTACATAAAAAAGAATATAGTCAGAAATGAAGGATTCACTAATTGAAATAAAGAACAATTTACAGGGAAACAACAGTAGAGTGCATGAAGCCAAGAATCAAATCAAATAATTTGGAACATAAGGAAGCAAAAACAACCAATCAGAACAGCAAGAAGAAACAAGAATCAAAAAAAATGAGGATAATATAAGCAGCCTCTGGGACAACTTCAAGAATTCCAACATTTGCATCATAGGGGTGCCAGAAGGAGAAGAGAAAGCTTAAGAAATTGGAAATCTATCTGAGAAAATAGTGAAAGAAAACTTCCCCAATTTGATGAAGGAAATAGACATGCAAGTCCAGGAAGCACACAGAGTCCCAAACAAGGTGGATGCAAAGAGGCCAAATCCAAGACACATCAAAATTGAAATGCCAAAGTTAAAGATAAAGAGAATCTTAAAAGAAGCAAGAGAAAAGCAGTTAGTTACCTACAGGGGAGTTCCCATAAGACTGTCCTGTCCGCTGGCTTTGCTACAGAAACTTTGCAGGCTAGAAAGGATTGGCAAGAAATATTCAAAGTCATGAAAAGCATTTTTTTAGGTTCAGCTGTTGATAATTGTGAGCTCATTGTTATTTTACTGTTCATAGTTTTGATCTTCTTTTTCTTAGATAAGTCTCTTTAACATTTCATATAATAAGTGCTTAAAAAACAGAAACAAACTAAGCGAAGAACTGGAACAAGAACAGAATCACAGAAATGGAGATTACATGGTGGGTTATCAGTGGGGAGACCGAGAGGGGAGAATGTAGGAAAAGGTATAGGGAATAAGAAGCATAAATGGTAGGTACAAAATAGTCAGGGATAGATTAAGAATAGTGTGGGAAATGGAGAAGCCAAAGAACTTATATGTACAACCCATGGACATCAACTAAGTGGGGGTAAAGCTGAAGGGTGGATGGGTGTAGGGCAGAGGGAAATAAAGGGGAGTAAAAAAGTGGGATAATTGTAACAACATAATTAATAAAATAACATTAAAACAAAAATATAAAAACTCTAATTCAACAATATTTTAATTTACATAATATAAGTTAATATTTCATAAATTTACTATATATGACCAGTAGAGTTCTAAATTTACTGAATTGGGTCTTTGTGGATGCTGTCGTTAGGAAACATTCTTTTAAAGTACATTTTATAATGAATTTGTAACCAAAACTGTCTCTGTTTCTTAGACAAATGTTTTAAATAGATCCTTGATACTTAAGAAACCTATTCCTAAACTGTTTATATTCTTCATCTCTGTTTCTCACTTTCCCTCTTGTGCCTGACATGTCAGGCCCGAGGGCTTGCTGTCTCACCTGGAGAAGATGCCTCTGCCTGGCAAGAGTGCTTGTGCAGGCAACGTGTTGCCCACCTTTCCTTGGTGTAATCCACCTGGGAAAGTGCTTTGAGGCTTATGTAGTTGTCTTTAGGTTTGTGATATTTTTGGTTGTCTAAATCCTGTTTTTAGTTTTCCTCTAACCTAAGATTTTTATCTGGTTATCATATCCTACTATGCTGTGATTGCCACAACACCATACCGCCGACTGCACACTGTTAAACAATAGAAATTTATTTCTCACAATTCTGGAGTCTAGAAGTCTGAGATAACTTTGCTGGAATGGTCAGTTTCTGATGAGAACTCTCTTCCTGGCTCGGACAGGTCCATCTTCCTGCTGTGTCCTCACGTAGGGGGAGATAAACAGAGGGTGAAAAAGAGCAAGCACTTGTGTGCCCAAGCTCTCCTATTTCTTCTTATAAGGACAAAATTTCCACCATGAGGGCCCCACTCTCATGACCTGAATTTAACCCTCATTATCTACCAATGGCCCCCACTACAACTATCTTCACAGTGGGGTTAGGACTTCCACATATGAATTTTGAGGGGACACAGATATTCAGTCCATAATAGCATGCAAATATAATTTTAGGAATATTATTGTGACAGAACAATGTAGCTGAAAAACTGGTGCATTGAGAATCATAAAGTATGTAAAGCAGATTAATCTTTATGATTGAATTGATTAATTACCAACCTATTGTGGCATTCAGGCAGTTTTATGCTGTAGTAACAACTCCCAGGCTCAGTAGCTCAACACGACAGAGGTTTACTTCTGCTACAAGTCCATTATCAGTCCACAGGGTGTTTCTGCTTATTGTAGTCACTTTGGGGCCCTGGCTGATGGAGCAGCCATCTCCAACCTTGTTGCTTCATGTGCCAGGCAGAGGGAGCATACTTAGGGTCTCGAACTGGTAATGACATCTCTAGGTTGGAAGTGATTTATTTTAATTCTGCTAATAATTTCACTGGTTAGAATTAGTCAGAGGGTGGAGAAGTGGAAATACTTGGAGAACAGCATAAATGCTTTCCCATACTTTCTATTCTCTAATAAGCTAAAGAATCACAGTCTTTTTGAGGGATACTGCTGGAATAATTTACACAAGGTTTTTAAAAAATTTTAAAGAAAAAATTACATTAACATGATAGTATTGTTTATTGTTTTTTGTTGTCATTTGTAATACCATCTTTGTTCTTATTTTAGGAAGCTTTTAACATCACATTGGATCACAAGTGCAAAATTTTCCAGGCTTTAAATGGAGCTGTAGGTATGCTTCCTAAACACTGGGTTGCTCATGTATTCAAATGGACACCTGTGTTTTCAACGGTCTGCATTTTGTTATATTTTCGGGCTATGACTAAAGTTTATTGGTAGATATTGCACCTTTTTAAAAAGATTTTACTTATTTTTTAGAGAGGGGGAATGGAGGGAGAAAGAGAGGAAAAGAAACATCAATGTGTGGTTGCCCCTCCTGCGCCCACTACTCAGGGACCTGGCCCGCAACCCAGGCAGGTGTCCTGATTGGGAATTGAACTGCCAACACTTTTCTTCGAAGTCCAGCACTCAATCCACTGAGCCATGCCAGCCAGGGCAGATACTGCAACTTTTAAAAAAATATTGGACTTGAGCTTATTGATATAGTTAAATACACTTGGTTAAAATCATTGTCTGATACTGATGCAAAAAGGATCAGCTTCTGGCCTTAGGTAGCTTAGAATTCAGTATCTCGTCATCTGGGGACTATAGATGTATTTCTAAATTAATTACACCTTATTGTTATATATGTTTCATTATAAGTTCTCTGTATTGAGAATTACTCTGGAATGGTGGACTATGAGAGTGTTTTCCCCTAGGTGAAATGTACCTGGTAACTAGGCACTTTTACTGTGGAGTGTGTGTGTGTGCAAGTGCTTACATGCATGCACACATGTGTACCTGTGTGTTTACCTAAATAGACATATATCCTGGTAAAATACATTAATATATTAAAATTGATCAATATGTTAAAAGTCAACATACATTAATTTGTTAATGCATCATGCTTTAAAATTAAAAACTACACTGCAATTCACTACAGTTCCTCCAGGCAGTACATAGAGGAACAGGATTCTCAGAATGGAAAGCGTTTAGGGTGGAATGCTCAGGAAACGTGAGGGAAGGAACCTGAAAACAAACAAACAAACAAACAAAAAACCTTTCTACTCCCATCTGACTTGTATATGTTTTTGGAATTTACATTAAGCGTGATTTTCAAGAACTGGAAACTCGTTATTGTTCCTGGCAGTGTTCTATCTGCTGTCCATATATTATCTTCATAATAATCTTGAAAAGCAGGCAAGGATCCCATTTTACTGATGAATAAATTGAGACTGTAATTTAACTCTTGTAGGATCACATCACTATCAAGGGACGGAGGCAGGACTACAGAAAGGCTCTCCTCCTGCCAGACACCTCAGTGGCTCAGCACCGCAGTCTGCTGGTGCCAGGTTGGAGCAAGTGAGGTGCTCAGAATTGGATTCTGTCATTTGGGTGTCTGCTTACTAGGAGGAGTCCAAGTTACTAAAAGTGTTGTAGCACATGGAATAGCATGCATGAACAATTTTAAAACAACAAGAATATATGTATGAATGTATATATGAATAGACACATTTTAAATTACTAAAACCTATTTTTCTCTTTTACTCAGATGAAGTTGTTTTGAAATTTGAAAATGGCAAAGCCAGAGCTAAGAATGTATTTTATGAAACATTACCAGTGGCGATTAATGGAAATGGACCCACCAAGGTGATTCACAGTGGCTTTTCTGTTTTCTTCTTGGAGATGGACTATGGAGCAATAGGAAGAATATCTTCTTTTTAAAATATCTTTAAGAGGCTTTATTTTGGTGCCAGCAATTTATGGGCTTTATCTTTTACATGGTGTATGATATGGTTTCATTCAGATTAACTGATAACTTTTTCTCAGCAGAGTGATAACTTTTTATTCTATTTGTAACACCTTTCACTTTAGTATTTAGTAATAACAGCTAACTGGAGAGTGAGCCACATTTCCTTCATATACAATATCTTCTGAATATGAATCTTTGAGGTCATTAAGGGATCATTTGTTTCATCTTCATCCCCATATTCTGAATTAACAGTTCTGCTAAGATTGGACAGAAACTTCCTCTTGCACTTATTTTCTATCTGGGTTATAGTTGACAAACATAACCTTGACTAATGACATTTTGGATGCTTTTCAGATATATGTATTTGAGCTTGCTGAAAATCTTATCGACTGCAAATTTGTAGATAAGTTGGTAAAGTTTGTGTTGCTGATATCCAATTAAAATGGAACATGAATTCTGTGTGTGGGGGTATATATATATATACACACACACACAGTGTATGTATGTATGTATACATATATACACATATATTTAAGTGTATACGTGTGTATATATATGCTTAAAACAGTGTTCTGAGATACTGAGTTGACTGGTTTACTCACAAGTATCTGGAAAAGATTACATATAGCTTTGCATTGCGGAAAACAAGATGGGGAGGTGTGTGCTTTTCAGAGAAGTGAGTAGTCTGAATTCCAACAAAAGCCACATGCATGGGAAGAAATTCCAGGGAAAACCTACGTTGGCAGCATTTGCCACATCCTGATGGAAGTAGGTTCTGCATCTCCTCTAGTTAATCTTTCTGCTTCGCTTTTCATCCCCTTCTTGCTCTCCCATGATGTACACTCCTTTCTGTATTTTGTGTAGTTCCTAGCAGCATTCTCCTTCTCATGAGTATTTACAGACCCTCAAATCTCTTCCATCCTCTAAACAAAACAAGACTGAACCAACACAAACTATAATATCCCCCTCAGTCATCTTACAGCTTGCCTGCCTTCTCCCTTCACAGCCACACTTCCTTCAAGCAGAGGCCACTCGCTGCCACCATTGTTCTCCTTTGCACACACCAGGATGTGCACCTGCCGTTGTCTTGTGGGTTGCGGCATTTTCATTGAATAGTAAACACTCAGCAGCCCCCATTTTTACTTCACTCAAAGATAACTTTTGATATTGTTGATCCCATTTGGTCCTGCTTGAAATACTCTTTCCATTTTCTATGAATGCTCTGCTGGTTTGTCTACTATTTTCTGGCCTTTACTCTTCAAGCTCTCTCTCTCTTTTTTTTCCTATATATTTTTAAAGTGTAACCCTTTGTGTATGTGTTGGGGGGTTGTGTTTGGGGAGTGGTCTTCATCCTGTACTGTTTTAGTTAAGTGTTCCCCAGGTATCTATCTGAGACATCTTCCTTTTCTCGTACTCACGTTCTTGGGTAATCTGCTTCATTCCCACATCAGCAAATCCTCTTAATGCTGATGATTTTTCAGATCCTTGAACTAACTCCTATTATCTTCCCTGAACTCTAGGCCTGAATGAATGCCCAATTGGTAGATTTATTTGCATGTCATATGAGACCTGGAGGTCAGGACCTTAAACTCTGCTTCCTCTTCCATCTGCTTGATTAACTAAAGCCTGAGTTTTCTGTTGGCTGTAGTTGCTTCTCACTCCCAGTCCAGGAGCTGTCTAACTGCTGTGTATGGTGGTACATCTAATTTCCTCGGTGCTCATGGCAACTTCCTCAGTTCAGACCACCTGCCACCTCCCACCAGTAGCAGTTTCCCACCAGTAGCACGAAACTAGAAAACCTATTAATTGCTTACCCGTGCATGTGTTTAGGTATGAAGTTCCAAATTCTCAGTTTTTCTCATAAGGTTCTTTTTAAATTTTGCTCCTGTTTAGTGACCACCCATCTACTATCCTCTATCCCCCAATTCTGGACACAACAATATCCATTCACCCATTTCTTGTAGTCAATCATTCTCTTCCTCAGCTCCTGTCATACTGAATTACATTGAACTTCACAAAAGTTTTCATGTTTCCTCTGTGTTCAAGTCTTTTGTACATGCATTTCACTTATTCCAGAATCCTTTGCCCCTAATTCCCATTCCTGTACCCATCTGCTGAGTCTTGTCACCTTTTAGCTGTCAGCTTCATCTTTACTCCTGTGCATGCTTTTATAATAGCTGGAACTTTGTCCCTCACAGTACATACCACACACAGGACAGTGGTAGAGTTTACCTGTTTTTTGGTCTCTCTTACTTACTGGGCCTTTAGCCTAGAAATTACAGAACTCACACCTGTCCCTGAGAATTTGCATTTTGTTTCCCTGGCATTCAGCACAGGTGTAGCCTACATTAGCCTTTATGTAAATGGGATTTGAATAACAGAGGCTAATGATCTAGCATTATTCTTGGGAGTAAGACTTTTAAGACTTAAGATGTTAAGACTTTTTTTTCCTGACAGGACAAAGTAGTCGTAAAATTGCTGTGGGTCACTATAACCGTCTTTAGGCAAATTTGATAAATAGACAGATCTTGTCTCTGCAGCCCTTTCCAGTGTGTTTGTGTGTGTGTGTGTGTGTGTGTGTGTGTGTGTGTGTGGGCATGTGGCAGTTTCTTTTTTAGCCCTCTGTCTGATGTCTTAGTGTTCCTGAGGCAAAGGTTTATATAAACAGACATCTCCTATAACTAAATAGTGTCCTATTCCTTGTTGGTAATTTAAAAGTCCTTAAAGAGGGAGCTTGGTCCTGAGAATTTAGCTATTGCGGGTTTAGTGATTTTAATATGATCAACAATTCCTTCCAAATTCCCAGGATAATCTGACGAGTTTTACAAAGTGACTAATGGGTTTCTTACAAAAGAGGGTCACCAGTCCTCAATCATTTAGAAAGACTTATGTGCACTAGGGAATTTTTACAAGACCAGTGCTCTAACCCCTGAGCTATGGAGCCCTCACCTAACATTAAGGAATTTTAAATCTTCTGGGAAACATTCTCAGTTTGGTCTATCACTGATTCTGGAATTTAAACAGTGTGATGATTGTACTATATTTTCTGTGACATGATCCTGTCTAGCATATTTTTCTATAATTTTATTTGACCACAAAACATAAAGTATGGTAAGTCTTTTTGTTATTTGGTACAATATAAAAATTTGAAAAAAGATTATATAAATAAGCATTCAATCAATGCTAATACTTTATTTAATAATATTACATTAATGTTAAATAGAGGTACATGGATATATCACACTCTCCCCTGTGTCCAGGCTAAAAGGAAAAGAAAACAGGTTACTCTTGAGATATAAACTCTTTTCTTCATCATAAAAGTTAAAAGGATTTTTATATGAGGTTTTATAAGTTAATTTTAGTTATTATTTAGTGAGGAGTGAGTATAATGCCAGTGGTTTTTGTGCCATAATGTTGAACTCACTAATACCTAAGCTGTGTAATACAGTGTCCACCCTTATTTGCAGGGGATATGTTCCAAGACCACCCATGGTTGCCTGAAACTGCAGTTAACACAGAATCTTATATATAGTGTTTCTTCCTATATGTATATATCTTTTTACTTAAAGAAGCACTTATCGCTTCTCTTTGTCACGTACACATTGTCAGCATCACTACTCTGGCACTTTGGGGCCACTATTAGGTAAAATAAGAATTACTTGAACACAACTACTGTGATACCATGACAGCTGACCTGCTAACTGAGAAGGCTACTCAATGACCAACCACTAGGTGACTAGCCTGGTGAGGAGCAGGAGCAGGTTTGATACCCGGACCAAAGGGGTGATTCATGTCCTGGGTAGGAGTGGGGCAGCTCAAGAGTTCGCTATGCAACTTGGAACAATGCACAATTTAAAACTTATGATTGATTATTCTGGAATTTTTCTTTTATTGTTTTGGATTGAGGTTGTTCAGGATAACCGAAACCCCAGAGAGTTAAGCCATGATTGATGGGGAACTACTGTATACGTGTAAGCTGTAAATGATAAATTGTTTGTAGTGTGTTTATAGACTAAAGTGTATAAAAATGAGTTTATTTCTTAGTTACTTTCTCTAAATATTATGCTATTATTAGGAAGAACAATTTATAAACAAAAATCACTTAAAATCCCATTAGCCTCCCATATTGTTTTCATTCATAGCTGTTTTCCGTTTTATGTCTTTTCAGTATACATCTATGACCATTCTTATTTTTCATTTGTTTTCATAATGGTTTATAAACAGTTTTGTGTTTTATAAGTAGCATTTTATTTGAAATAGATTTCTGTATTCAATGTAATTTTTGTCCTTATCTAGATAAAATCTAATATAGATCAGTTTTTAGATAGAAACTATGATTTCTGGTTTAAAGCTTTACTTTTTATTCTTGAGCTTATGTATTATTAGTAATACATCATAAGTTGCTTTTTCAAAAAACATAAGTCATTTGATTATTTTATTGAGGCCATTTCAGTCTGCTTTTCATATTTTTTTTAATAAAGATTATATTTTATCTATTTTTAGAGAGAGAGAAAGGGAGAGAGAGAGGGAGAGAAACATCAGTGTGTGGTTGCCTCTTGTGCACCCCTTACTGGGGACCTGGCCTGCAACCCAGGCATATGCCCTGACTGGGATTTGAACTGGTAACCCTTTGGTTCACAGGCCAGAACTGAATCCACTGAGTCACACCAGCCAGGGCTTCACTTTTTTTTAAGATGCTTTTTTTGGACAACTTTTGTAAGAGTTTATTTGAGCCAAACTGATGACATAAGCCAGGGAGCAAGATCTCACATGCTCCTAAGATGTTTATTTTATTACAAATGGGGGAAGATATTTGCGAGCAACAGCTCTGACAAAGGGTTAATATCCAAAATATATAAAGAATGCATGCACCTCACCACCAAACAAACAAACAATCCAATTAAAAAAATGGGCAGAGGCACTTCTCTCAAGAAGACATACAATGACCAACAGGTATGTTGCAGGTATGTTCAACTTCACTAGCTATTAGGGAAATGCAAATCAAAACTACAATAAGATACCACCTCACACCCGTTAGAATGTCTGTTATTAACAAGACAAGTAATAACAAGTGTTGGAGAGATTATGGGGAAAAAAGGAACCTTTATTCACTGCTGGTGGGAATGTGAACTGGTGTAGCCACTATGGAAAACAGTATGGAGGTTCCTCAAAAAATTAAGAATAGAGTTACCGTATGACTCTTCTTGGTATCTACCTGAAAAATTTCAAGTCATTTATTCACAAAGATATATGCACCCTTCTGTTCACTGCATCATTATTCATGTTTTCAACAACTCGTGTCCTTTGATAGATGACTGGATTAAAATATGGTCCCTATATACACAGACTACTACTTAGCCATTAGAAAAGGTGAAATGCCCAACCTTTTCTTTTAAATATCAGATAATATACATCTTAAAGTAATCATTATAAAAGTGGTGGCATTTTTGTATAAACAGAAGTTTAACAGAACTAGATCATGTCACCTAATTTACACATGAAGATAAGTCATTTCTGAAACTATTTAGATTTGCAATAAAAATTTATTTTTTTGCATAAAAACTACCATGCTTGGGTTACTATAACCTTGACTAATTGAATGATTAAAAAAAAAGAGAAAGGATGGAGCTGGAAAAGTTTCTTTGCCAATGAAATGACATTATACTTGGCAACATCTCGATATTGTGAAAGGAGAATCAGGACAGGACTGCCACCTAGTAGCTAGGGACTTCCCAGAACAGCCTAAATACATAAACAGTTTTCTGCACTTTTCAAAGCTGCCAGCATAAATGTCTGGTTTTTGATGAAGAAAACAGACATAAAGGGAAGGCTGCAGTAGTGGATGACCTCTGCCTGTGTGGTGAGAAATCCAAGAGGGAGATTTCCAGGCAAAAGTAGAAAGGTTATGAAGTTCAAATTTTGAGAACTAAAGATAACACCTTTTATACTCGGACCTTTTCAGAAACTATTGGCTCATTTTCATATTCACATTGGGAATCTAGTAGATGGATCAATAATTCATGAAATAAATATTTAATGTTTTTTGAGATTTCTGAGCCAAGTATATGTAGATGGGAATTTTAGATATGGCCAGCTGTTTGGGGGATTTTCTTCTTACTAAAAAAAAAAAATCTTTTCCAGGATGTTGTAAACAAAACTGTGTATCTCCCACTAGCCTTAAAAATCTCTTTCACACATAATGCTAAATAAAGAATTTATTTTCACATGAATTGCTTTATTCCTTCAAAACCATAATTTTGTACAGAACAGGAATGATTAAATTAATGTTTGCATCTGTGTTTTGACAACAGCCAAATAATTATTTTTTGTTACAGAGGCACATTAAAGTGACCACACTGACTCTTGAAATGTCATTAACAAATGCCAGAACTACATATTTCCTGCCTTGTAATTCGTTTCCTGAAATGCCATGCAGTTCATAAGAAATGTGAATGAGTCAGTTGCCGTTCATGTCCTCTGTCTGCTGTGCAGATTGAGTGTAACTAGGTCTGCCGTATCTAACAGAGATTTTCCCACTGTAATTAATACTGTGTGTGTCTTAACAGCATGTTTCAGTTGCAGTTCAGTAGGAATATTTGGATGGAATCTTAAATATTTTGGAGGATTTTTGTAGAATGGTACTGGACTAATTACCTCAATTGTTCTATACCTTAAGATGTTTTCTGTGGTCTTAGGAAGCTAGAAAAATTTACTTGGCAGTTCTGTATGTTTTTGACCACTATCTTTTTCTTTTGAGTCCATCTCACCTTTCCAGTCAAAAGTCAATGATTATATAGCATAACAAGGATTTTAGGTGCTTCCTGTTAAAAGTAAAGTCACAGCCAAAGCTAGTTTGCTGCAGTTCCACTGTCTTGAAGTGAAGTACTTTGTGAAAAGAAATAGTTAAATAAAAATCTGCAGATGTTCATACCACTGTAAGTATTAGTATTGAAATAGAAAGTACAGTAATTTTTTCAAGTAAATCAGAAGAATTTTTCCTAAGATGTTCAAATCTACGGATATTCAAGATTTGTCTGAGGGCTGAGCACATATTTTAGTGTGTTTATGTGTTTTTTCCATCCATCTTCTCTCACCTGCTCCCTCATCCAGATCACACAAGGACACAGACTTTGTAGAAAAAAGGAATGCCAGCCAGTAGGTGCTTAAGGAGTGGGGGAGAGGGTGAGTCACAAAGGAGATGCTCTGCTAGGTCTGAAATGGGAGAAGTGGTATTGTACTTGAGCTTGTAGTTGATAGGATCTGCGATGTGGCTGTAATTAGCAGTTTATTTTAGATCTATTTTAATTTGCAAGTTTTCTTTTACTGATATCAGTGTCCCATAAGCCTAGTTTATAGTAGACAGCATATTTTAGTGCCTTTGGTAATACATTTTGTAGCATTTGCTTTGCGTGGTGATGGTTTGTAAGAGGTCACCCTGAAACTGCCCCCATTTTCTGTAATTGTCTGTGTTGATCCTTATAAACATCCATCTTCATACCAACTTACTCTTCACGTGACTGCTATTATTCGTGGTGTTTTTCTGATAAGTCTTATTAGCCCAATAAAACTGTTGTTTCATTGTTTGACGTATTTCCTTAATTGTGTCTCTTCTGGTATCACTCCTTATCTAATAAATTAAACGACCTTTATGGTTTATGAAGCATTTTTTTGGCACTTCTAGACAAAGTTTGACCTGCTTTATGATTCATTTTCTGGAGGTAATGTTGTTCAGTGCAGACCTCTAAGTGATAGATATTCAAAGAATTGTTAAAGGAATCTACCTAGTCGCATGTACCAGCTACATGGAATGAAAGTACCTTGAAAGCAGAGGATAACTTTTGTTAACACAATTCTCCTTCATTCACTAGATTCTCCTGAATTATTTCGGGAACTATGTGCCTAATGCATGGACACAGGACAAAGGCTGCACTTTCTGTGAACTGGATACAATTGACTTGTCTGTGGTAAATGTAAGTGGAGTTAACTTGGTGAAATGTAGTAAGAAAAAAGACGTTGCCATGAAGTATAGTGATTTGTAAAAAAAAGGGGGTCATGTTATTGTATAGTTTTAATAAATAGTATTGGATTTATAAAGCTAAAACATAAATAAGAAAATTGGTAGATTTATGTATATCTGAACTATTTTTAAAAGCTATGCCAAGTAATAATTGACTCTAATAAAAGGGGTTTGGTTGTTAATATTTAATAACTTGTTATGTTTGGGTATTCTTGTTTAATATTAGTCTGCTAACCTGGTAAAAGCATTGAGGAAAAAATAGTTATAGTGCTTCAGCATTTTTATTGACTCATTTTATTTGTGTTTGATTTTAAATTTGATTTAAAAATAATATATTATTGTATAACTAAGAACTATTTCAAGAATTTTACATATAGTAACTTATTTAAACTGCATAAAATTTTTTCAGTAGATAGTACTATTGACTATGTTTTGTGATGAGAAAAATGAAGCATATATACATTAAGCAACTCGTTTAAGGGCATATAATATTTTTGTGTTGGAGGTGGGCTTTAAATTTAGGCAGTCTGGCTCCAGGTCCTATATTCTTGATCACTGTGTAATTTTGCCTGGATGTTATATACATCATATATGCCATGCACAGTGTTACTTATATACATAGGGTGAGGCAAAAGTAGGTTTACAGTTGTTTTTATGGGAAATGAAGCAACCCTGGCTGGTGTGGCTCAGTGGGCTGCGCACAGGCCTGTGAAGCAAAGGGTCACTGTTTTGATTTCCAGTCAGGGCACATGCCTGGGTTGCAGGCAAGGTCCTCAGTAGGGGGTGCGTGAGAGGCAACCACACACTGATGTTTCTTTCCCTCTCTTCCTCCTTCCCTTCCGCTCTAAAAAATTAAATAAAATCTTTAAAATAAAAAAGAAAATGAAGCAATAACATATATAACAGTACAAGAATAAATTCTGTGTCATATACTTACAACTGTAAACCTACTTTTGCCCTACCCTGTAGATATTTTATAGAGAATTATATTATAGTTTATCATTTATACCTTTAGGGTAAATGATCTATTGGAAATACATTTTTATGAATTCTTCTGTCAATACCAGCACAGTTTTAAGATATTCTATAGTATTAGTTTTCTTCCAAAAAATTGCTCTTGTAACTGGGAAGTCTATTATGTATATGGATTCTAGGGATGATTTTGGTCATTGAGGTTGATTCCTTCCTTCATTCACCATAAGTTTATTGAGTATCTACAGAATGCCAGATAAGTAGAATGAATAGATGGAAATAAAATTTGCAGTAACTCCTGAACCCATGCAAATACAAAACACTCTCACTGTAAAATATTACCCAATTCTGTTCATATAACTGTCTGAAACGAGAATAAAGATTAACTTGTGCACAGTTAGGAGCTTTTAATTTTCTTTATTTTTTATTCTTCCTTGAGAAGCTTTCTTTTTTTAAATTTAATTTATTGGGGGTAACATTAGCTATTAAAATTATATAGGTTTATTTTATGATACACCATCTATATATTGCATGGTGTGCCTACCACCCAAAGTAAAATCTCCCTTCATCACCATATGAAAGTTCAAGCAAGGAAGTTTCATTTCTTTTTTTAAATGTTGCTTATTACAAGGACTGACAGATAATTCAGAAATTGACATGCAATGAATGAAAGATAAACTGTCCTCTAAAACATACCTGGAGTATTGGAGAAAGTATATAAAAAAAGGTACAAGATAAAATGTATTGGTGAAAGAAAGTAGGGGTTTTTTTTGGCCAAGATGGAGGTGTAGGTAGATACACTTTGCCTCCTCACACAATCAAAAGAAGGACAACAACCAATTTAAAAACAAAAAACAACCAGAACTGACAGAAAACTGAACTGTATGGAAGTCCAACAACCAAGGAGTTAAAGAAGAAACAATCATCCAGACTGGTAGGGGGGCAGAGAGGAGCAGAGATGGGCAGCTGGGGCAAGGAGGACATGCAGCAAGGTGGCAGCTGGTGGACTGGGTAGTCCCACATTCTCATGTGATGTGGATAAACCGGGAGGAACAATTGGGGAACGAGACAGACCACACAACCCAGGGTTCCGGCATGGGAAATAGAGCCTCAAAACCTTTGGCTATAAAAATCTGTGGGGGGTGTGGTGGGAGAAACTCCCAGGATCACAGGAGAGTTCACTGGAGGGGTCCACAGGGTTCTAGAACGTACACAACCCCACCCACTGGGAAATCAGGGCCAGGGGGGTCCAATTTGCTTGTGGGTAGTGGGAAAAGTTACTGAAAGTAGAGTGAGAGCTAAGCTAGTGGCATTGTTCCTTCCCTGACCCTTCCCCCAAAGATAGCATCACAGCACAGTGAAGTGGGTTGCCCTACCCTGGCGAATACCTAAGGCCCCCGCCTCCTTACTATGTAACAGGTGTGCCAAGACAAAAAAATGTGGCCCAAATGAAGGAACAGATCAAAGCTCTAAAAATAGAACTAAGTGATAAGGAGATAGCCAACCTATCAGATGCAGAGTTCAAAACACTGGTAATCAGGATACTCAGAGAAATGATTGAGTACAGTCACAAAATAGAGGAGGAAGTGAAGGCTTTGCAAAGTGAAATATGGAAAAATATACAGGGGACCAGCAGTGAAGGGAAGGAAACTAGGACTCAAATCAATGATTTGGAACATAAGGAAGAAGTAAACATTCAAATGGAACAGAATGAAGAAATAAGAATTCAAAAAAATGAGGAGAGGCTTAGGAACCTCTGGGACAACTTTAAATGTCCCAACATCTGAATCAAGGGTGCCAGAAGGAGAAGAGGAAGAGCAAGAAATTGAAAACTTTTTGAAAAAAGTAATGAAGGAGAACTTCCCTAATCTGGAGTAGGAAATAGATTTCCAGGGAGTCCAGGAAGCCCAGAGAGTCCCCAAAAAGCTGGGCTCAAGGAGGGACACACCAAGGCACATTATAATTAAATTATAAGATTAAAAATAAGAGAATCTTAAAAGTAGCAAAAGAAAAGGAGACGGTTACCTGCAAAGAAGTTCCCGTAAAACTATCAGCTGATTTCTCAAAAGAAACCTTGCAGGCAAGAAGGCCTCGAAGGAAGTATTGAAATTGTGAATGGCAAGGACCTACATCCAGGACTATTCTATCCTGCAAAGCTATCATTTAGAATGGGAGGGCAGATAAAGTACTTCCCAGATAAGGTCAAGTTAAAGGAGTTCATCATCACCAAGCCCTTATCATATGAAATGTTAAAGGGACTTATCTAAGAAAAAGAAGATCAAAACTGTAAACAGTGAAATGACAACAAATTCACAGCTATCAACAACTGAACTTAAAAAAAAACAAAAACAAACTAAGCAAACAACTAGAACAGGAACAGAATCATAGAAATGGAGATCACATTGAGGGTTATCAATGGAGAGGGGGAATGGGGAGAAAGGGAGCAAAGGTACAGGGAATAAGTACCATAAATGGCAGGTACAAAATAGACAGGGGGAGGTTCAGAATTGTATAGAAAATGGAGAAACCAAAGAAGTTGTATGTACACCCATGGACATGAACTAAGAGGGGCAGTACTGGAGGGAAGGGGTGTGCAGGGCTGAGGAGAATAAAGGGGAGAAAAAATATGGGACTATTGTAATAGCATAATGAAATATACTTAAAGAAAGTATGCTTAAAAAGAAGATAGCTTTTCTATATATAAAATAATGAGCCAAAATAATTAATTTTACTTTGTTATAATATTATATATAGGAAAATTAGATTATACATAATAAAATGAGATTAAAGGAGACATCCACGGATAGAAATAAAGGCTTAAGACCTCCTTAATTTCTTTATTTGAGCTTCAAAGTAACCACCGAACTTTTAAGCCATGGAAACAAAAGGGGAATCAAAATTAACTTTCTAATTTTAGGTAAAGCTATCAAAATAGTTTTGATCTGAAAGATGTTTCTTTAAGGACTACTATAAAGGGAGCGTTGTATGCTAGAGTAGGCAGTATCTTTAATTATATCCATATAATAAATATGAGAGTGAATTTCCTTTCAAACCTAATTCACAGTGAGGAGTTGTGATTGAGTAAAGTCAGTCACCTTGATGGGGTCTACAAAAATGTATTTCCAATGTTAGAGAATTGCCATAGGGCCATTCAAATTTAGCTGATTATATTGAATTTATATTCTATATATTTCATGTTGTTGTGATTAACACTTTAATAGAATTTAAAATAAAACCACACTAATGATAATTTTTTCTTATGTTTGTTGTAAAACAAAGGTCTATCCAAATGTAACAATAGGTGTTTTTATTGAGCAACCAACCCCTTTCCTACCTCGATTTCTGGACACATTACTGACCCTGGATTACCCAAAGGAAGCACTTAAAGTATTTATTCACAACAAAGTAAGTATTTGATAAATGAATATTTTGTGTAAAATGTGTTTTTTATTTTCTTTGGAACTAGTTGTTATATTTGTTTCTGAAAAAAATCCAGGGGTTAAAGTACATAGGGGATTTTTGGAGTAATTAATTCCCTGCCTTTTTCAGACTTAAGGATAAGAGTCTAGAAACTACTATCATAATATTGGGATAAGCGTCATCAAATTGACAGTTTTTGTGGATCAAAAATGGTTGAGTACCAGGCATTTTTTGTGGATCAACTTAATGTATAATAAAGGGATGGCAGAGGGTCTTATATTCCTGTACCTTTGGGTTAGTTCTGGCATTTTGTTTTGTAGAACCTGTCATTAATTGTTTTTAGTGTATGGTAATACCATAACATTAACACTTGAAATATCTTCTAGGTAGAGTATTGTTTGATTCCATGCAAGAGCCCATAATTGCATGCTCTTCCCCAAAGGATTTGATATTATCATTTCCTTCAGAAACATGCAGAGCCTCTCAAACACCTTTCACATATGCTATGAAATTGTCTCTTTCCTGTTAAAACAGTTGGTATTTAACATCATCTACAAAAACTCCATATCTGTGAAATATGCTATTTTCTCTCTCTATCCAAATACTTTTTCTTCACCACTGTTCTTGTTTCCAAATGTACATGCCAGCTAATCATTTGCCTTTCCCAGGGAATGTTTTAAACTTAGAGAAAAGCAGCAAAAGTAAGGGTGAATTGTTGACTATTTGCTTTGTAAAATGTGTTGTAGTGTATGTTCTTACAATAAAGTGTTTTGTTTTTTATATACAGGGCTGGGCAAAAATAGGTTTATAGTTGTGAGTACACGAAACAGAATTTATTTTTGTGTTATTACTAATTATCGTATTATTTTCCATATGAACAACCTTAAGCTTAGTTTTGCCCCAGCCTGCATTGTATTTTAATTGTACTTTTCTTCCTTTCATAGGACCTAAAACTTTTGATAGCAGAGATTTTTATCTTCTTTTATTTATAATTAGCTCTGTGTAGCCTTTATATGATAAATATTAATAAGCTATGAAAAGTTTTTAAAAATACTTAATGAGACTTGATACATAAAAAGCTCTGAAATGCTCTGAAGGAGACAGATAATCTTAATTGAAGTTTTAACACCGTGTAATGAAACTAATTTGATGACTTTGTGTTGATAGTTTTCCCATCAACAAAATTTTGTTAAATACTGTTTTTGTAAAACCACAGTTTTATATATGAGCATTATGTTTTCTCTCTGGTGTCACAGATACTTTAACACTGGTATTTATTTATAAAATTATTATTTATAACTTAGATTAATGTTTATTAGATTTAATATGTCTATTAGATAACACATGTCTATTATTGTCAGGCCATAAGCCACTTCCTCACCCTTCTCCCGACCTCGACTTGGAAACACTTCGTAGCACCCAGGATTTAAATATTTATGTAATCACCTGTCTAGGAGTAAATATTACAGCAATATTAAAGTATCTTCTCTTTAAAACTATGAATATGTGTCTATTTTAGATTGTATATATGACAGGTGATATTTAAATAAGTTTAATTTGGTCATTGTTTTGTCTGTAATTGTGTGATGATGTAAATAAAGTACGGCATTCACCACTGTGAATGCGAACCCGTCCCCACATATGAATCCTTCAGTCATGTTATTGCCTTATTTTTCTCACTGCTTTTCTATTTTTAAAAAATTTACAGGAAGTTTATCATGAAAAGGACATCAAGGTATTTTTTGATAAAGCTAAACATGAAATCAGTACTATAAAAATAGTGGGACCAGAAGAAGATCTAAGTCAAGCCGAAGCCAGAAACATGGGAATGTATGTTTTAATAAATTTAAACAATTTCTACTAAAGAAACTTTGAAAAAAACCTTAAAAAAGTTTGTACCCTACCTTGAATGTCTCAGTTATTTGTGTGTGCATGTGAGTTGTGCATACGTGTGAGCACCTTCTGCTATTAGACTATCTGCATTTGTGTGTAAGGGGGGAGAAGTTATTTTCATTTTTATTTTAATGGCTAAGAGTCCATGTATTTAATCAAGCTATTAATTGAACTTAAGATCAAGATTAAAAATTACTCAGACAAGTGTATAGTATGACATATATAAGCAGTGATTTAAATGTCTACTCTGTGAAGGTTATGTGTGGTAAAAATGAATGTTTTAGACTAAGGCTTAAAAGGATGTTTCTGCATTCTGGTTACCTGCTGATATCAGAAGAAATATTTTAGGTCCTTTGTTTAACCCTTTCAATACTTCTGAGAGATTACTAATAAAATTCTGGTAATAGTAAAAGCAGTCCTTTACTCAGTAAATGGTAGTTGAATATTCCAGGCAGTGGGTTAATTGCTGATAAGGGATGAACAGTCATGGTGACTTCTTGTTTTGTGTTGTGACAGCTGAGGGCTCAGCATGGTGGATGCTGCTGGGGGTGGGGGGTAGGGGGATGTGGGGAAACAGGTCTCTGGAAAACCAAACCAATGTCTTTACTAGTGGTTCCATAACTGACAATAGCTAAAAGTGATAGATAACTGGGAGCCCAGAAGGAAAGGACCCGGAATGCAGAAACCATGATAGTGGGAAGATTTTCATGAATCTCAAGTGGTACATTCCATGGTGTCCTGATAGAACACAGCAGATTTTACCAAGAAAAGCAACATTACAGTCAGTGTCCCCAGTAAAATGCAAGGGAGTAGCAACCTTAGAAAAAATCGCATGCAAATCAAGTTTTAAAAAAGCTAATACCTAAAGAGGAGTTGACCTGTATCTGCAAGAGTCACTGAAACCTCAGTTGCTGGATAGCCGAGATTTTGCAGTGTGTATTCGTGTGTGTGTGTGTGTGTGTGTGTGTGTGTGTGTGCGTGCATGTCCACATGTGCAAAAACATTTTGATTTTTTGAAAAAAAAAGTTGATAAATACATTGGGGAAGTTATTTTTCCCTTTCAGAGAGAATTTAATTCTAAATTCTAAATTGCCATTCTGATGTGTTTTATGTTCTAAAATATTTACTAGCTGAAAACGTATTTCATCTGGTTTAAAAGTTTTGGTGTGGATCTGCCTGTGAACATCTGTGTTGATAAACTGACCATTTTGAAATTCAAAACAATACTTACCCTTTTGGATATTGTCTCATTATTTTGATTAGAAAACTATGTTAGAGAAACTTTAATTTATATATAAGCTTTATATTAACATCTTTCAACAGCAACTATTTATTTTTTCTAATTCATATTTCTTTTTCCCATATCAGGGATTTTTGCCGTCAGGATGACAGCTGTGATTATTACCTTAGTGTGGATGCAGATGTTGTTTTGACAAATCCAAGAACTTTAAAGATTTTGATTGAACAAAACAGGTACTATATAAAATTCAATGTCAATTTATATTTTAAACAATGATCTTTTTCTTCCGTGGTGTAGACATACTATAAAGACATCTGTGGAAGGAACAAACAGGAAGGAGCAAGTTGAGGGAACTCACACTAAGTATTTTCTATACCTTATAAACTTTCCGTTCTAATTAGTTTTCTTTTAAAGAAGTCAAGTAGAAAATAATCTAATAAAAATTGGAAGTATTATTAGTTACAATCACAAATGTGATATTTGTCAGAATGTATTTGCCTTACATTTTCTGTTTAAAGATAGGTGAAATATCTGATAGAAGTAAAATTTGGAATTTTAAAATTTTCTGTAGAACTTTTTTTTAAGATAATGTTTTTTAAAGATTTTATTTATTTTTAGAGGGGAGAAAGGAAGGGGAAAGAGAGGGAGAGAAACATCAATGTGTGGTTACCCCTCAGGCACCCCCCCTGGGGACCTGTCCCACAACCCAGGCATGTGCCCTGACTGGGAATCAAACTCGGGACCCTTTGGTTTGCAGGCCGGCACTCAATCCACTGAGCCACACCAGCCATTACTCTGTAGATATTTTTAAAGTAGAATTTCATAAAACTTTTGACCTAAAAAGTTGTTATAAAGAGGGTTGTAGTTCTTAGAAGTTGAAATTTTAGAGGTACAATTTTTTTCACAGCCAAATCTGTGGTTTTATTTAGTACTGAACTAATTATTACTGGTCTATACCTGTTTTCATATAACTGAATTGAAATGGGACAAAGACACCATCTATACCAGCTTATAATAATAGCAAATCTTCACTTATTAATGTTACTGCTACTACTAATAAGGGTATTATTAACACATGTACTAATGGCTCACCTTTAAGTAAGTACTTATTAAGTGCCAGGGTTTTTCTAAATATATTTACATATATTAACACAATTATTTCTCATGACAGAATAGTTAGCAGTAAATATTACTGTTTTTATTTTACTGCATAAAATATGTGAGAAATTTATTATTCTCTGCTAACCCACTCTATATGTAAATGAATTTGAGAATTCAGTTATTTCAAAATCTAAGACTTCTCAGTATTAATTTGTATATACAGCTCCACTATATAATTATGAATAGATACATATCTATCTAAGATAAGTATAAATTTCAGGTAATTTTTCAAGTCATATATATAAGGTTTTAATCAGTGTACAAGGAAAAGCATATGAATAGAGTTGCAATTTGTAATTCTTAAACCAGTGGAATTCAGTAATATTTTCTTGAAATTTCCATGTTAATTTTCTCTTAATTTGACTGAAATTCAATACTTGTAATATATATAATCTTCTAATAATATTTAGATGTTTTATTATATGACACATTAATTCTTATAGTGAACTGTTACTGGATTCATACTCTACATTTAATGTATATCCCCCCATACAAAGGGTTACAAACCTTTACAAGGTTTAAAAATCTAATATTTTAAACCTTACAAAGTATAAAATTTCCTTCATAAGATTCAGTAAAACTTTGGTTCTTTCTCCAGTTTCATAAATTTCTGTTAATTTTCAAAGGATTAGGTTCACACGATATGCTCCTGTAATATTGTGTGAACCTAATCCTGTAGGTTCACATGATACTACACGTATTGTGGCACTTAACTAAGCATGTAGTTTCTGCAGCTCATTTACATATACCAAGACTCTGGCAGATTCAGTAGATTTGCCTGAAGGCTAGAGGAGCATGGGATGGGTCACATCTTAGGGCATGAGACTTTCCAGTATTTCATCTAGTCCCCTTTTCCCTCTCCTCCTCCTACCTCTGCTGTTTCCTGCCTTGCCCCAAATTTTACTCCTTGAATTGTTTAGTGCATGTCATCACCCCCAGCTGTTACTCTTATATTTTCATTCTCAGAAACAGTAGGCACACCACACATGGATTTTGATTTTCAACATTTCTTTCACTTTTCTATTTTTGGGAGGCAGCTGAGATTTAAATTTTTTTATATTAAATATTTAATCTTGTCCATTATGGACATTGAGTTATCATTTCTTAACTAAACATAATATATAGATTCTAATTTGTTATCTATGTATCTTAAACAAATCAAAATGTGTTTTTGGTTAATATTTCATTTTAATAGGAACCAGGAAAAATTAAAACAAGACTGTTATTTTGCATGTTATGCATTTTGTAGACTGTCTCACTTTTCCGCGGGTAAGAGAAGGGGTGCACCTGGTCTTCACAAGACTGGCATGTTGTTGAATAGGTTTTTTTCGTGGAGAGTGGTTTGTCCATAAGCTTTCTCTTGGGGGAATTTTGTGGGCTTTTCTTAAAAACTGAGATACCATTATAGTGGACTGTATTTTAGAAGTAATTCTAGAGGAACTTCATATTTTGCTACCTTATTTGTAAAATGTTGACACATTATAGATTAGATTTTCCTGAGAAGAAGTATGTATGACATGTTTTGGACTTGTCTCATGTGATTATATCAAGCAGACTATTTCCTGGGAGGTGGCGTGCTATGGCAGTTATCGTCTCTTTTGTCTTCTGAAATAGTTAGAGGACCAGACAGATGTTCCGTGTTGCCAGGGTTAGCACAACCCATTTTCAGAGTTGTACAAAATGGAAACAAATGCTAAAGTGAGACTTTAGGAAAACTGGCTCATTTACAGATATTGTAGGCCATCAGCATTCCTGTCTTTATTCAACAGATATTTATTGGATAACTGAATGCACCAGGGATTATTATGTTTCTCTAATGGCAGTGAAAATATTTGATTTTATATAGTACAGTTTTTGAAATAATTAAGGTAGTTTCACTTTTTGGACATAAGTATAAAAAGGACTTTTAAAAGACCTTTTTATATTTTCATTCACATTTTGAGTTAGTTTTGTAGTCTTTTAAAGAAATATCATTGAAAATCAGCAGTGTGCTTAAGAAAAAATGTTGGGAAGAAATTTCTCTATTTTAGTTTTTTGGTCTAACTGCATGTGTGTTAAATGAACTTTATTGTTTTGTGTGTCATGCGAAGTCCAGACACATAATTGTGTGATCATTTAAGAAAAAATAGTTACCTGGATTTTTTTTTTCTTTCACCTTAGAAAGATCATTGCTCCTCTTGTAACTCGCCATGGAAAGCTGTGGTCCAACTTCTGGGGAGCACTTAGTCCTGATGGATATTATGCTCGATCTGAAGATTATGTGGATATTGTTCAAGGGAATAGAGTGTAAGTTACTTAATTTAATCTTTTTAATGTAACATACTGTGATCTAGAGATGGGGTCTTATTAATATTACTGGAGGGGTTTTTTTTTGTTTTTTTGTTTTTTGTTTTTTACTATTTATCTTTTTTTTTAATCTCACCTGAGGATATGTTTGTTGATTTGGGGGTGGGAGGAAGAAAGAGAGAGAGATAGAAACATCAATGTGAGAGAAACATCAGTGGTTGCCTCCCATACATGCCCTGACCAAGGATCAAACCTATAATCTAGGTATGTGCCCTGACCTGGAATCAAACCCACAACCTTTTGGTGCGTGAGATAACACTTCAATCAACTGAGCTACCTGTCCAGGGCATCTTTTTTTATGTTTAAGGGCAAGTTGAAAACCTGAGGACCACTTGGGATCCTGAAATACTCGATAAACTAGTATTTTACAAAAAAAGTTTTTTAAATTCTAAATCTTTAAAAGAACAAACTCACTGTTGTAGGACATACTAAGAGATAATATATGGTTACCATGGGTAGCAGTCTTATGATCAATTATTAGCAGAGTAATTATTCTGTAGTTAAAAGTTAGTGGCCAGGATGAAGGTTGTTTTGATAGCTTTTAAAACTTACAAATGAGCAAATAAAAACAACACTCCGCATCAGAACCTTCAACACTTTCTATTGCAAAGTGTTTTCTGTGTAAAATAACTAATATTCTACTTTAAAGATGAATTTCCTCATCAGTGCCTGATTTCAATTTCTAGAATTAGAAAAGAATATACTTGTTACTAAGTGTGTGCATGACTGATATTTATTTTAAAAACAATAGCTGATATTTTTTAAAGTAAAAAATGACCACTGAAGTAGTAGATTTTTGCTAAGGTAATATCACAGAAGACTGCCATTCATTTTTTCATATGCATAACAGACCAGAGTGAATGAGACATTAAGTGCTTGGCCTGGTTTCTCAAATACATCAACCCAATAACAACAGGATAGCATTCTTTCATTACTAAAATATGTGCCCTTAAATTTAGAAAAAAAATCACACACTTGTTCCACAGCTGAGTAGTAAAAAGGTGTTTTGTTTGTGAAAATAGTAATAGTAAATTTGAGAGAGATAAATATGATAAAGGCTTTTGTTAGTTGGAGCTAAGAAGCATGATAGCTGAGAAAACACTATCAAAATATATTCTGTTGTTTCAAAGTACTTATAATATGTCTTTGGGATTATTTGTATGGACCATACGGCTGATATTGACTGTGGGTATAATAGAAATAAAGGTTCACAGAAGTAGAATAGAGAATTCGTGTTTTATTTAAGTGCCGTAGGCACTGGTGATTTTCATCCAACCTTCTGTCATTGTCTAAAATGTGAGGGTCAGAATAAGGTAGGGGTTTCTGATCTACCTGAAGGAATGACATCTTATGACCTGTGTGTTTTCTTTCAAAATTGAAAGACTGTACACTCTGAGAGTGATTAATTTCTTTTTAAATTATATTTATTGTTTATGCTACTATGTGATCAATTTATGAATTCAGATGATACAATATATACATTTTTATAACCATTTATCTTGGGGCTCATCTAGTAAGACAAAATGGCATTATATTTTTGTCAATATGTATATTTTTTGATCAAGATCTCCCTTTCTGTTCTCTAAAAGCTACAGGCATATATATTCCTTCAGGCAAATAATTTCTTCTACTGTTCTTAGGAAGGGAGCCTGTTCAGAGTGAGGAGATGGGTCTGTGGGAAGAGTGACGGACAAAATAATGTGCCTCCCGTGCTCTCCTGGCTACCTTTCTTCATACCTTCCCTTTTTAAATAAAAATTTGAGATGGCTTAATGAATTTCAAGAGAATGTATTTTAGGAGAATTCTAGGCTGTATTCAGTGGTGTGCTGGTAAATATCTAACAGCTGGTTCTTGGGGTTGGAGGGTGTCCTGACTTGTAGTGTTTGCCAATTTCCATGGTGTAAATACTTCTACCATGGCTGATTTTAAGCTTCTGATGTGAAGTCACATAGCATAAGACATGCGAAGTGAAGTTACAAGTCAGTTCTGGAGAACCAGTGTAAACTAGCTCTAGCAAACCAGTTGTATGTCATTATTTTTTTCTATCAAATTACTTAATCTTAAATGGAAACACCTTCTGTACAATAGAATATCATACTCTAACTGTTATCAACTAAGTGAGGGGTGATAGCCAAAATGTCAAGCCAATATCAACTTTAGAGTAAAATTTATTTAGGGGAGGTAGTGATTTCTCTCATAAAAATGTAGTGTATGCCAAATAATCTCATATAAATTATATGCATGTGTGTATATATGTCAGCTATCATTAAATGTATTTGCATTTCCATGTAATTTGCTTCAATAATTTTGATAAAATTTGAAACATACAAGGTATTTATTTTTAAAACAAAAATAAAACTTCAAGTATTTTGTATTTGTAGTATTTTGGAATTTCTTCTCTTTACTTTCAGAGGGCTATGGAATGTCCCATACATGGCTAATGTATACTTAATTAAAGGAAAGACTCTTCGATCAGAAATGAATGAAAGGAACTATTTTGTTCGGGATAGACTGGATCCTGACATGGCTTTTTGCCGAAATGCTAGAGAAATGGTGAGGATATGCTGATGGCTTGCTGGATGCTGTCAGAAAATGGCTTGCTTTCCCAGTTGATGTGCCGTTGTCTTTCGATGTTCCTTTTCTTTCTGATTTGTAAATACTAGCCAATTTTTTTGGTTCTGTGTTGAAGAATTAGGAACAATTATGGAAAATAATTAGTGAATGTTTACCTATGAGACATTTGAAAAATTAGGCTGGTGATTACACTAATTCATGAGCAACAATGGAATTTAATAATCAGCATGAATTTGTTACAAATCAGCTTTTCATTTTTTAAAAATTCACCTTCCATTTGAAATTCTGTATTGAAAACTTGACCTAATTAAAACTAATTAGGTAGAGCCTGAGTGAAATGATCATTTACACAGTTAAGAATATACTTTTATCTGAAAATGAATGTCTCTACACTCCTTACCACTAAACAAGGAGAAGGCTTGAGGTATGGAGTATATTTCATCTATCCAAAAAATTAATGATACATTGTTATTCTACTTTCATTATATAACTTAAATGACTATAGAAAAGAATTTGTTTTTCAAAGTGTATAAATATCTTTTAAAATGTATTTATACAATTTTCTGTTTTAGAAAGGATTGAATTATTTTATTCACATTTGTGTAAAATATAATTTTGGGAAAAATCAAAAGAGTTGGCAAGTATTTTTTATTAGTTTAATAAGGCATGTATTATTTGAATATGTTTGTTTCTCCTACAAAACCTGTGTGCATTGTTTATACTGAATATTCTCAGTCTCTGTAATTGTAATTTGTGCTCATGTTTGGCTGATTTGACTCAACAGCGCATCCTGGAATGGCCTCTCTTACACATTTATTTCTTTGTCTTGACTTTATGTCTAATGGAAATTCTACGGAATGAGCTTGGATTTATGTTTCATCAAAAAAAAAAAGGGCTGGAATGGTTTCTTTGTGTGCACTATAAGCTTTGCTTGTTCTGCATGTTTTCTATGAAGGACATTTCAGAATGTCAGCTTTTCATCAAGGGCTGCTATTTTACTACCTGAGAATACCTGAGAGAGTGGGTGTGCAGGTCAACTTACCCAGTGCTTCTCTTCATTTTAGACTTTACAAAGGGAAAAAGACTCCCCTACTCCGGAAACATTCCAAATGCTCAGCCCCCCAAAGGTGTTATTTTTATTTCTTTTTATTTGTTTTTGTTGATTTAATTAATATAAGATATAGTGTACTGCCTAACAGTAAAGTTTTTTAAAGAGTCTTCTTTCTATTTAGCTTGTTAAACTTTTGGTATTCATTGGTTCTGACTCTGCTTATGGGCTTGTAAACTTCGTGTACTGGGGGTGGGCATTGCGTGATGTTCAGCTCTGGGTTCCTTGTGCTGATTTACATTTTATGTTGACAGATGAGAAAATGAAACCTCAATTAATCCGTTTCACTAGTTTTTGTTTTTTTTTTAAAGGAGAGAAGAAGTAGGAGTATGCATGAGATACATCTCAATAAAAATGAGATTTAAGCACTCTTCACATTTTTTTGTATTATTAATACTCTTTTACCATTAAAACAGGTACAAAATGAAACAACTTTATGTTAGTGGTGTTGCCACATTTATCTGGTTTGGGACAGGGATATAAGACTAATTTTCTTTAGCTGCCTTATAAGTATGAGCAATATCTGTGTCCGGTTTTTAAATGTTAGGACAATAAAATAATAAAATAGAGTGATGAAATAATATTAACGTTTGAATTCTTGTTTAAAAATGTGATATATTCTTTGAAAGGGAAAGAAGCCAAAAGAGGTACAATCAATTCATTGAACTTGCATGTTTAAAAACACTTCTGCTTTCAAACAGGAATATTTTTCCCGATGTCTACCTCTAGGATCAAAGAGAAAGGGACACAAACGGTCCATTCTGCCGCTTCTGTTTTTCAGTTGAGTGTCAGTGCTGGCAATTAGTTTTGTATGGTGGCTGAATTCATAATGAATCAAGATTTTATTTCTCTCATTTTCACTCATGCATGTTTTTAGATGAAAAATAAAAATGCATGTTCATGAATGAAAATATAAAAGTTGAAATTAATGTTATATATTTTGTATGGTTAACTGTATTTTTTGTACTTCTAAGATTGTTAATACTCTTATTTTTTGACATATAGGGTGTATTTATGTACATTTCTAACAGACACGAATTTGGAAGACTACTATCAACTGCTAATTACAATACTTCCCACTATAACAATGACCTTTGGCAAATTTTTGAGAATCCTGTGGTATGTATTTCATACTCAACTTTACTTATTACTTACTTTCCTGTAACTCTAAATGGATGAAAATAAATAGGGTTAAAAATATGAAAATATGGTAAGAGGCTTTAAAAGTTTTTTTAATTATATGACTTTTTAAAAGCTACAATTAAATATATTTTATGTCCTTTAGAGTAGATCAAAACCTGACCAAGAACTTTTTTTTAAATAAGACATATATTGGGTTTGGGGAAGGGAATTAGCAGTTTTTTAAATTTCTACCAGCATTTCTACTTATGTATTGTAAAATACTATCAAATTTTTAATCACAATTTCATAAGCAATGCTTATAATAGCTAACATATGACAATAATACATTTTGATTTTCAGGAAGAAAATTCGTTAGTTTGGGAAAATACATTTTATTTTATCATTTTATTTTTTTTAATAACAATTTTGTGAATGCATACCAAAGATAGCTAGAGAAAAATGCAGAATAAGTGGATTCAGCATATAAAGAAAGTCTTAAGTTGAGGAAACTATTTCCTTTTAAAGTCTAAAATAATTTCTTTATAGACAGATATAAATCATACAGGAATTAACTTTTTTTTAAGTTATCTATTTTATTTTATTTTTTTTAAAGATTTTATTTATTTATTTTTGGTGAGGGAAGGCAGGGAGAAAGAGAGAGAAACATCAATGTGCGGTTGCTGGGGGCCGTGGCCTGCAACCCAGGCATGTGCCCTGAATGGGAATCGAACCTGTGACACTTTGGTTCGCAGCTCGAGCTCAATCCACTGAGCTACGCCAGCTAGGGCAGAATTAACTTTTTTGAATAATTTTCTTTTGTCTTAATGGGGCCTGCTCTTTTTAGTCAAGTCAGCACATTTATTCAAGGGAAAGTACTTTCTTCAATAATCATCTTTGTAATACCACTGTTTATGGTTTTCCCTTGCCAATAGTAAAAGTTTTAAATTACAAAGACTCAATTCATCTTAATCAGTATTCTTGTAGTTGACATCTGTGAATAGTGAATTTAATGGCCTCTGAATTCTCTCTTGAATAGAAAAAGAGTGTATTTCGGCATTTTTGTATTGTAAAAGTACTTTCAATCCCTTTTAGCTGCATATCTTCATCTTTCACAGGAGTAGACTTGAGAAGAGGCTTTTTCAAATGGTGAGGGTAGAATTACATATTTTACTTTAGCACTGAATGTCTTGTTATTTGAGAAAGAGAATTATTTGATTTCTTGGGTAATATTAGCTTCCTGGAAAAATATTCCAAGTTATATCCTGAATTGTGGATACTTGTGTAAAAATTCAAATCTTTGGAGAGTATGCAATGATAATATCACAAGGAAGTTTGGTACCATTTTTCTTTCTATGGCTTTATAAACTTGGTGTTTTTGGAAATTAGCCTTATGGATATGCCTTAATGGCTTTGTGGGGGATATACATAGCAAAATATTTAATGATTGTCCCATTATCAGACTTTCTTAGAAATTAGTAAGGTCACAGTTTGTTCACTGGGATTTGAAATGTGGTCTAAAGTGAAAAATTAATGTAAAATTTTAGGGGCTTTATTTTAACTTTAAAAATCAGTAATGATACATAAGAAAGAATATAGAAAGATTCTGAAATGTTATGAGTTATTATTTACTTCTAATTTTTTCTCATATTTGGGAATCAGAAAACTAATCAATATTAGAAGGAATAATGACATAATAATTTGATCCTTATAATTATGTATTACAAATAAAATTTATTAAAGAATTTGAAGATAGCTTTGCTTCTCTTTATCAAAAATATCTGAGCTACATATAAGCAGAGATATGCAAAACTAATAATAGGATATAAATTGTCTCGACTCCTCTGAAACCTAGTCTCAAAAGGTATACTTCAAACAAATATTTTTGAAACATAATTTTGATTGGAGTTACTTTACATCCGTACCTCAATTCTTCCTCATTGGCCTCCTGTAATTTGTACTGTGTAAAGAGACAATTAAGAACTTTGTTCGACTATCTAAATACTTTTAAGAAGAGATCTTTTTGAATAAGAAATCACTTAATATTTTTATATATATCCTTTAAATAAGTGGGTTTTTAAATGAAACACTTGACCCAGGAAAAGGACTCCTTAGCTGATGTTGACAAAGATTGAGAGATTTTAGTGTGTGGTTGATGTGTGCGATTGGTTAAAGAGAAGAATCTTTTTCATGAGTTAGCATGAAGAGGACCTATTTTTTAATATATGGTCCTATATCTTAATTTTAGTAACTAAAAGAAGTGAAGTGTTAGTAACCCTATTATTATTCATCGATAAATATTAAAAATTGAAGTGAAGGAGGAAATTTTACATTGAAATTATTCAGAGGAATTATTTTAGAGGAATTAATTAATGCATTAATTAATATTTACTAATATTTATTAATAGATTTTGTTCACTTTTAAACACCTATGTATCTTCCCTGTATATATGCATATGATATATATGCATATATATATCATATATATATGTTAGATATATATGTTAGATTTATAACATATAAATCTAATCACTGTAGATTACTTAAGTTTTAAAATCCTAAGGTATAAAACTTCATAAATAAAAATTTTTGTGTTTTGTAGAAAGATATGATCAAACAGAGAAACAGGCAAATATTAAAAAACATGAATGTAGTTTCTGATAATTATTTTGTCTAAAATAAACAGTCATTCATAAGTTGTTTGAGCAATTTCTAAAATGCATATACTTTATGTTTTTATTACAGTTTTTGTAAAATTATTTGCTTTAATCTGTGCAATTGATTTTTTTTTTTTTTTGGTAGGACTGGAAGGAAAAGTACATAAACCGTGATTATTCAAAGATTTTCACTGAAAATATAGTTGAACAGGTTCGTATTAATAATTACTATGAGCCTTGACTGGTGTGGCATAGCTGGCTGAGTATTGCCCAGCAAAGCTTGTTCAATTTCTGGTCAGGGCACATGTCTAGGTTTTGGGTTCAGTCCCAGTTGGGGCATGTACAAGAGGCAACTGATTGGTATTTCCTCCCTGTCTTCCTCCCTCCCTTTCCCTTGCTCTAAAAATAAAACAATGAGTAAAAAAAATAATTACTATGATTTATAGAGTATTTTTGTTATATATTTTCCAGAAAGGCAAATTATTACTGCAGTACTGCTTTAGTGGAGGATGTTGTGAAAGCGGAGGAACTATCCTAATTTAGGCGAAATTCAAATGGCTTAATCCCCAATTTTATAACCTTGAGGGTCATCGTATAGCTGTAAAACTGTAGAATGTGGTGATGAACAAAAAAATGTAAGGTTATGGGTTTTTAAAGTGCGCTCCCAATGTCATAGCTTTTTCAAACCATGCAAAATAAGGAGCCATTGGCAGATCTCCTTCAGTGACAGGTTACCTTTGAGAGAAATTGGGCCCCAAGACTTTCTTCTCAGAGGTGGTTTTTCAGATGAACTGTTTTAGAGTGGTATTCCACACTATTGCTAATACCTTATATCAGAGAGTGTAAGGTGTCTTTGATTCTGAGATGTGTTGTTTTGTTACTGTGAGAAAGAAGAAAAACTCTGCCAATTAAACTATGAGACAATGTTTTCTAGTCATTTAGAATTTTTTATTTTATACATGTTTAAAGGCTTGTTTTAGACTTACTAAGGCATAGATGTTACATGTTCTAGGTACTGTGTATACAATAACTTTCTGTTTCTGTTGCAAATTATAGTGTAAATCATGTAAAGAGATTTTAAAGGGCAACTCAGTTCAGCAAATGCAACACCAGCTAAATGCATGTATGTATACAGACACATACACATAACATGTACACACAGGGTAAGGACAGAATGAATGTTTATTTGACCAAGCACCATGGCATTAAAACTACATTGCAATGGCTGCTTGGCTTTAAGACACATGGTGATTTCACTGATGTTAAAATATTTTTTGAAAAGTCTCAGAATGTGTTAAAAAAACAATACACACTAGTATTATTTGTAATACAATAATAAAGCCAATAATATGGGACAAACTTCTTAAAAAGCACATCTACAGGAGATAAATATTGACTATTACGTCCTGTTAATTTTGAAATGCTCATTATTAGTTAAAAGACACAAAATGTTATTTTCTTAATGGTGATGCCATGTTTTGTAGCCTTGTCCAGATGTCTTTTGGTTTCCGATATTTTCTGAAAAAGCCTGTGATGAGCTGGTGGAAGAAATGGAGCATTATGGCCAGTGGTCTGGAGGGAAACATCATGTAAGTTGGAATTTCACATGGAAAACTAAAATGTGTTTGTGGGGCGGGAGGAGGGGAAGATATTTAGAGAACTCAGAGCTGAGTATAACTCTGAGTAGACCGAAATGAATGGGCTAAGGAAGACTGTCAGGAAAGCTATTTTTAAGTGTAATTTTGCTACTAATTAGTGTTTAACATTTGATCTGTCTGGGGCCCAGTTTCTCATTTATACATGTAATTACACTGGATGGTCCCTGAAAGTCAGTGTCCCCAGGCTGGAAATGTTAAGGTTAATGTATGTCTTTACTCTGTGATGTTCTTCAAGGTTACTTTTTGTTCTAAATGCTAGGTTTATCCAGTTGATTGTCTAAGCTATTTCTTTTTTTGTACAAAACGTAAAAAGGAAGAACCTGTTTGAATGCTGTTAGTGTAAAAAAGACTTGGCAGGGAGCCTTACTCAGTGGTTCAGTGTTTTTCTTTTCCTCCGAGAACTCACATATGCCGGCTCCTTAACAATACCAAGAAATTTAAGTGGAAACTCTTGGATATTACTGCCTCTGCCTAATTACATACTTCAGCAAGTTAGCTGAGCAGGGAGATAGGAGTTCAAAGAACAATGAAGAACTTGAAGTCAGTGGTTTATAGGCAGAATAATGAGAACCTATCTTGGAAGGACTTTGGGCTCTGCAAAGTGGATGTGAGGAACAGAGCCGGGAAGGCTGGTTTTGATGGTTGGTAATCCAGAGGATCTTTGCCCATCGAGTAGCTATGACTGCCTGAAGGATAACTGTAAAAAACTCATTTTGGGGGGGACTTGGGAGGGCTTTGGAAATTACTTTTATCTATTTTATAGTCAGACCTCACATACACATTTGTAAAAAATAATACGTTGAATAAATGGAGCCACTTTAAAATGGAGTTGGAGCTGCCCTCCCAGAGCCTTGCACATCTTATTCCTCAAATCTTTAGAATGTTGATACAGGGCAAAAGGGCCTTGGACTCGACCCCAGAGCAGCATTGTATCCCAAAAAACTATGTGCAAAGATGACAAGAAAGAAGATACCATGTCTACCTGCATTGAAAATTAAAAACATTGCTTAGTGTTAGCAACACTGTGCTAGCTTATCTGTACCTGTAGAAGCATCTTCCGTCTTTTAGAGTAGTTGTTCCCCTTCCCTTTTCCATAAATACCCCTTGTCTTTGTCTCCGAATGTGAACACTCTGGGTTTCTGCCTACACCAGTGCTTTCTGAATAGCTATTCTTTTGCGTCTCATAAATACTTGTTGCCTCTTAGTTTGGCCTTTTAATTTTGGGTTAACGCATTAAATAAGTTGGAAAGGAGTCTACTGACTCTGCAGTATTTTGCTTCATTGATATACTTGCAAAGCCATGTTACCTAAGTTTTTTTTTATATATAGTTTTACAGTTAAAGTAGATGGTGTACCATAATTGCATTATTCATTTTGTTTGTTCATAATGGTCTTAGGGCTGAAAAGAATACCAAGGTAGTATAAATGTGGATTGCTTGTGGACCACACTTTATGATGTCGTCAATGCTTTCTTTAGGATAGCCGTATATCTGGTGGTTATGAAAATGTCCCAACTGATGATATCCACATGAAGCAAGTTGATCTGGAGAACGTATGGCTTCATTTTATCCGGGAGTTTATTGCACCGGTTACCCTGAAAGTCTTTGCAGGCTATTATACGAAGGTAGTTATTCTCCCGCTTCTCCTGCCTACCTCCTACTAGCTTTTATACAAATATGCTATTTTATGTTCTTATTAATACAAATCTATTTGTTTACCTTGCCTTTTAGGGGTTTGCATTATTGAATTTTGTGGTAAAATACTCCCCAGATAGACAGCGTTCTCTTCGTCCTCATCATGATGCTTCTACGTTTACCATCAATATTGCGCTCAATAGCGTGGGAGAAGATTTTCAGGTAATTACAGCTTTTATTTTTTACATTTCTCAAATATGCCATTACAAAAAGGCCTTTATCCTTTTTTAAAAAGATTCTGCTTTGTGGCATAATTTGAATTTGCTACTGATAAAAAAAAATAAACATAGTAGGCTAATGCATTGATTTGTTTTATTTCTTTTAGGGAGGTGGATGCAAATTTTTAAGGTACAATTGCTCTATTGAATCACCCAGAAAAGGCTGGAGCTTCATGCATCCAGGGAGACTCACACATCTGCATGAAGGACTTCCTGTTAAAAATGGAACGAGATACATTGCAGTGTCATTTATAGACCCCTAAGTTATTCACTCTCTTTTGAATCGTTGTTTTTTTTGGAATGGATGACTGGCATGAACATGTCTGAAGTTGTGCTTGAGAAGATGAGAGGAATATTTAAGTAACTTCAACAGAACAACTTCACTTTGGGCCAAACATTTGAAAAACTTCATAAAAAGTTGTTTGATATATCCTAATGTCTGCTCTGAGCCTTAAAACACAGATCGAAGAAGAAAGAAAAAGCTAAAGTGAATATTTATTTCTTTGCCTTATTGTCTCTGAGAATAATGACAGTTTCCTGAATTTTTGTTTCAGTTGATGAAATATTCAGGTACAAGTGTACAAGTGACAAATGAGACTAGTGATATTTTCTTATTTAACAAAGCCTGGGAAGAATCTTATTTATCAACATTTAGATAAAATGGAAATAAATGAAAATTGGCAATTTTTGAAATGTTGGAAACCTGCAATTCTAACTGAATTTGTGTGCAGTTAATGTGTAAGTACTTTTTTGACCTCCTATGTAGGTGTGTTTTCTAGTAGTTCCTGGTGGAATACAAAGAACAATATTACACAATGTTTTCCGTTAAGAACTTAGTGCAAAATACAATGAGTTGCATATCCAGTTGAAAACATTTTTGTTTATATTTTTAGACAGATTTTTTACATTCGTATTAGGAATAAAGCCCTGTGTTCATTCCTTCAGATGAATTTTCTAAGGTAGATTCTATTAAGTAGATACTAGGTTTAGAAAAGCTTTCAAACTTTCAATTCCTTAAGTATTGACTAAGATCATTAAGATGTCAAAGAAGGTGGTTGTTTTTTCTTTAATTCTAGAAAATTATGAGGATTAATTTTTCTTGGAGATGAGTAGCAGCATTTTATGATTTAAAAAAGTTTTTTTAAGTACTTGAATTTTTTATCAGGAAAATAAGTTGGCAAGCCTCTCTTCCCCTTTTCCCTTTGCCTCCCTCCTTACACTGTTTTTAGGGAGGGTTATTCACTTTTTTTTGTCTTCCCAGCATAGTCTCCATTTTATCTTTCTTACTCTTTTTATTATGTTTTAAAATCCCACTTGGAAATAATTTCCCTACACAAAACAATTTGTGCCTTGATTTTCACCAATTCTCTCAGTGAGGTTTGAATATCCTTATTGTAGCTACTGTTTTTAATTTATAGGTTAAACTTGAAAAAAGTTCTGAGTCATGGTGCCAAAATTCATATTTCTAACACCATGTGTTAGAATATTATGAAAAATAAAATAATTTAAAATAAGTTTGTGTTGTTCTCTTATTGGTGATCTCTTATTGGTGATTTATCTTAAAAAGAGGATTAGCCCTAGCCAGGTGGCTCATTTGGTTGGAGTGTTGTCTCATACAACAAAGGATTGCAGGTTCGATTCCTGATTGGGACACATACCTGGGTGGGTTTGATCCTCGGTCTGCATGCGAATGAGAGGCAACCAGTCAATGTTTCTCTCTCACATCAATGTTTCTCTCTCTCTCCACCCATTCCTCTCTCTCTAAAATCAATAAACATATCCTCAGGTGAGGATTAAAAAAAATAAGGGAGTTATAATGGAATAGGCTGAATATCTGGATAAAATAAGTTATACTTTTTTCATTTTGCTTGGTATATTTCCTGGTATCATATCTTTATTTTTGTTTTTTTTTTAAAGATTTTATTTATTTATTTTTAGACAGAGGGAAAGAGAGGGAGAAAGAAAGGGAGAGAAACATCAATGTGTGGTTGCCTCTCACATGCCCCCCACTGGGGACTCAGCCTACAACCTAGGTACGTGCCCTGACCGGGAATCGAACAAGCGACCCTTTAGGTCACAGGCTGGTGTATAGTCCACTGAGCCACATCAGCCAGGGCCCTGGTATCATATCTTAATGAAAACTGGAATTATACGTAGAATTAATATCTTCAATCTTAAAGTGACTATAAAGGAAGTAGAAGTATATTTATGTTATTGATTTTATTCATAATTTTATTCAATATAAATTTATTTATTCAATAGTGATTTTCAAGTTTCTTCTGTGGGCCAGGCACTGTTATAGGCATTGAGGATGTGGTAATGAACAAGTTATAATTACTGGGAGGTGGGCTTAGGAAATAAAGAAGTGGGGCTCTACCTTTTTTCTCCTCTTCAGTGGCACTTAATACCCAGAGTAAATTCCTACTATCTGTCCAATTGTTGGCAGAGAAGACATTTCAGTAACGACTTGTGGTTTATATTTAGTATATTTCAGGGTTGGTATTCCATATATGTAACAGCTGGTATGTCATGGATTCCACTAATGGGAACAGACTCTTATTATAAAAGCGAAGTTCCACCAGTGCGAACCTGCTCACTGTCCCTTGTTGTCATCTCAGAGGAATGATGTCTACAGAATCTTAGTTTGTTTCGGTTGTGGTGTACATGCATGCTCACCTAGAATAACTATATTAACCATGTTCCATGTTTCCAGAAATTGGGTTGAAGCACTCAGCTGAGCACAGCTTCTATTGTCCTTATCCCAGATTTCATGAAATGTTGTATGTACTTTTTAAAAAAAAATTTCATGATTAGTGAGGAAAAGTATGAGAAATTCCCATAAGTAGGTCAGAGAAGTTGAAAGGTGGAAAACAGACAGGTTTGGATGGATGGAGAAAGCAGTAGGTTGAAACATGCTAAGCTCTGGCAACCATCAATCTGTCTTCTCTGTGAGTTCATGTTTTTTAGAATCTAAAAAAGTGAGAGCATACAGTATTAGTCTTGTCTGACTTATTTCACTTAACTCCCTCAAAGCTCATCCATACTGTCACAAATGGCAGTGTTTTCTTCTTTATTATGGTTGACAAATATTCCATTTTGTGTGTCTATGTGGGTGTAACTTCTTTATCAAGTCACCTGTCAGTGACTTTAGGTTGTTGCCATGTCTTGGTTATTATAAATAATGCTGCAATTAACATAGGATTGCAGATGTCTTTTTGAGATAATGATTTTGTTTCTTTAGGTACCCAAAAGTAGAATTCCTAGATTATATCATTGCTATTTTTTATTTTTGAGAAAACGAATTCTTTTTTCTATGGAAATAAATTGCATATTATTGTTTAACTTAAAAAGAGTAGAAAGAGAATTCCCATAACTAATTTAATTTGATTAAGTATACCAATGTCAAAGATAACCAGTTATATTTGCACATGTGCGCATGTGCATGCGTACATTACCAAAGGCTTTAAAATGCTCATCATGGCAGCAGTTTTTTTCAAATTACTAATGTGAATAGGAACCAGCATAAATATTTTCCCCTCACATGGATACTTTAGTAGCGGTCTAGTATATTAGTTTTTTCCATTTGACTTTATAAAAAAAAACCTAGTAATTTACCTTTATTGGTAACTTACATAAGAGATCAAATTTTACCCCTCTACAGAATAAAAATATGGAAAACAATAGCTCAGTGGATTGAGTTCAGGCCTGCGAACCAAAAGATTACTGGTTTGATTCCCAGTCAGGGCACGTGCTTGGGTTGTTGGCCAGGCCCCCAGTTGGGGGCATATGACGGGCAATCGATCGATATATCTCTCCCTCTCTTTCTCCTGCCCTTCCCCTCTCTCTAAAAATAAGTAAATAAATAAAGTCTTAAAAAAATGGAAAACAACATGTGAATTGAGTAGTCCATCTTAATGACAGACTTTCTTTATATATTCCTTTACTACTATCTTCCTGTCTGTCGTATGCACTTACTTTTCCTGCTTGTTAAGCCCTAAAGCCCATCCTGTATAACATTTGGGGGACCTGACATTCATTTGGAATGTGGAGTGGTCTGTCCAAAAGCTCTCTTCAAGTTGCAGGAAAACCAAATAAAACTTTTAGTCACAGTTTAGAAGTCAGTTTCAGTAAATACCTCTCTTTGACTAGATGTTAACTATTTTTGGAAAATTAAAGTCTTTCAGACTTTATGAAAGCAGCCTTTGTCAAATAAGACTGTTTACCTGTGGTCTTTTAGAATAGCAAGACTTTTTTTTTTTTTTTTAAGAATAACTGACTTCTTTTAGAAAAACACTTTGTTAAGAAAAAGCCAAAGGTAAGGAAAAACGGGGATATGTATAAAGTTATTTAATGAAAGCAACAAATTTTGGATTAAATTTTAAGAGAAATATGCTAAAAAATAAGTAATGAAGGCAGTAGAAAAATACATGTGTACATGCTTTAAAAATGCAAGAACTATGCAGAAAAAATATTCTAATAAAAGGAATTAGAAAAATTGGATAGGTAAATATACATACTAGGGATTTGTGGATTTTATAAATCTTACATCTTCCTGAGAGGTTTTAAAAAATTAAAGATTAATTTTAAATTAAATTTTGTCTTTACTCTTAATATATTAAAGTAGATTAGAAAATATTCATTTGGAAAAGTATGTTTTGTTGCTTTTTCAGGTAGTGGTGTTTAATTTTTATTATTTTGATAAATCAAGTAACAGTCATTATTTTTGCATGCTATTTTGTCTTTCCTGAGAAATGGTTGACTAAAAAATATGAATATGTATGCTCTTCTGAAAGTTAGAAAGGAATTTCTGCCTATTTAATAATACAAAACACAAGTAATCAACTTAAGTAATAGTTTTAATAAATGAAATGGAACAGATTATGCATGCCATAAATAAGAAAATGCTGTTCTTTGAAAACATCCTCAACCAAAGAAAATATTAGTCTACCAAAGAAAAAGGAATTAAGGAATGGAGAAGGAGAAAATTTTTTATGTTGATTTGTAATGAGTGAACTCTGTTTAATTATAAAATAATTTTTAAAATTAATTTTAAAAGACATTATTCTTAACAATAATTTATGTTCAGTAACTTTTTCTTCAGGAATGTTATTGTACATGGTAGAAAGAATCTTTAAGATAATCACACTGTGTTGTATAATTCTGCACCTACTCAGGGGAATTTTACATTTGACAAAGCTCAATGTCTTCCAAGTGAGAAATGGATAAATTAAAGTATATTTTTTCTTCTTCTGAGCATTAATGATTAGATAATAGATTAATTTTAAAAAGTACATATTTGGAAAATGACATTATCTTATTAATCTTTATTAAGTCATTTCATCTGTGTTTACATGGTTGATGTATTTTACAAATCTTGCCAAATTGTGCCATCATTGTCTAACTTTATGGTTCATGTAGGTGACTACTACGTTCTAAATTTTCAGCAAAAAGCAAGAGCTTTATATTTTTTTTAAAAACTGTATGCTTTCAAAATTTTCCTTAAAGGCTAATATAAATGAAAATGATTAGATTGGATAATTTTTTTCAGAATTTTTTTTTGTGGTATCCAATACATAATTTTGAAAGGAGGAATTGGGACACCTTACTCTGAAATAAGAGATAGCTGGTGTGTTTACATTTCATACCGCTGAAGTAATTTGTTTACTGCTTTTTATGTACTTTGTAAACTAGTTTATATTCACTAGGGAATGTGGGCCTGGACTCGTACTAAAGTTAGTGTAGAAGTGGCCAGACTCAATTACAACAGATTCAGTAATTAGTTTTAAGTAAACAAGATAATTTATGTAACACTGGAGCAGTTCCAGAGAATTCGTTTGTGAAAACAAATATATTTTAAAAAATTTCTTTGGGAAAGGTAAATCACAGTAATTTTTTTTCTTCATAATCAGCACAGAACTAGTCAGTATGGTCATGAAGATAGGATTCCTGTGATAAAAAAGTTGAGTCACACAGTGAAATTAATAACCTGTGTTTTGGCATTTTGAAGATTTAAAAAATTTGTTCCTGCTGAAGTTGCTGAAGGGAGGTGTACTAAGTAGTTGTAATTTACTTCACCTCTAGCACATTCAAATGTTGGCAACATGTCCTTCTTGGGACCTTCCCCTCATGTGGTTCACCTTGAGCCGTGGCTGCTGGAACGGATTCAGGTGCCCCTCATCTAACGCTGGAGTGACTTTACCGACTTTATATTGTTTCAAGGCAGCTTCCCTATTGACCATCTGTGAGGCAAGAAGAGAGAACATTTTTAAAAAGTATGTGTTGCTGAGACCTAAATGACTGGGTGCCTGCTATAGCAAGTATCCAAAGATAGCCATCAATGAACCATGCCTCCCAGGAGTTGAATGCTTGTACTGCTCCCTCCCATGCTTATTCCGGGTGGGCCTTCTATAACCAAGAGAGTGCTGGTTAAGTGACTCTGAGTAACTTCCAGGTTGAGTCATGAGAGACCTTGTGTCTTCCATCTCTTGGAGCGTTCACTGTTAAAGCACTCCCT